TATAGCAGTTGAGACAGCAGCTCAAACGCTTCAGTCTATGTGTACGGAGTGGCAATTATAGCTACGTTAAGAAAATAAACACGTGTTTTGTGTGGGAGTGCTGAGATTTGTGAGTGATCAACATCCCCGGGTGATCAACATCCCGGTCAGCTAGCTTACCCTGCATTTCCCTGTTAGCTGTCCCCCTCCTTCCTCCTCACCACCACACCTCGTACCTCTGCCAAGGAGGAACCTTCCAAATCGCGGTTTCGTTGATACCGAGGGATTTAGTCCGCAAAAGAGATGCTCTGCACCAACTGCACAGCCACGATTGTGCTTGCATGGCGTGAATTGCAAACGATGCACGAGACCCACTCATGATGCACGTTACGGTCAGGCCACTGCTGTAAAGCCACTCACACTCAGCCACGGGGCGCAAATTGGGGCGCTCGTGCATGGCCATACGCAACCCCGGCTCTTGGCAGCCGTTTACGCAGCTGCTCATAGACATTGTGTAGGACGGGGAATTGCGTGGTTCGCCTGTTATGGCAATTTTGTGTAAACAACCACCACTTCCAAGCCGGCACTCGGCACAGTGTCATGAAAGAGTCAGCGGTAGACGGTAAGATGCAGGAGTGGAGATGGCTCTCAGTGATGCTGAGGCGTAGTACAAGCGGTGGATCTGGCCTACGTTGTGTTTGTCGGCTGGGCATATGGGTCACTCTTACTTCTATTCTGGCCGTGCGGTGACCCGTATTCGGCCTATGCTCTTTCCATAAAGCTCCTAGCTTTCTCCTCATACTGTGGACCTCTCATCGACCTCTTTCCTCACCTCGCTCAACTTTAAACTGTCCAGCTCCATACTACACTCTACATCAACTCTATCACCACTCAAAACCCTTCCAATATGACCTTCTACCACACTGCTGAAGACATCCGCATCGATGACGGCCACATCCTGAGGGCTCGTCTCCAGACCGCCGACGGCGAGTGGAACGATGCCGAGATCGACCTCAACAACCACATTGGTAACGACAACGGTATGAGAAACGTACAAAGTCTACACGACTCTTGCTGATCTGTAGGAGGTCATTTCTTCTGGGACGGTGAAAACTTCTCCCATTCGGCAGAGGATATCGAGTTCGCGCTTGAGGGAGACGGTGACGTCCCTGTCCTCCGCGCTACCCTCAGGGATGAGGAGGGCAACGGTGAGACTCGCGACATCAACTTGGGCGAACGCATCATCAACAACGATGGCAACTTCCATTACGGTACGTCATTATGAGCAGACTCTTCGCGAGCTTGTTGCTAACACATCTTACAGAGTAGGCATCTTCCTGCGATGAGCCTAGTACAAGTTCCTCGTGCCTCAATCAGATCCTATGACGGGTGTCAGTCTTACGATATGAGCTTCAGGTATCTTCGTGTACTCCCCAAATGAAATGAAATGAAATAATACGATGATTCCCCATGAACACTGCCATAGCCTACCTGCTATACTACCGTCACGGTATCCGACTGTCGCTCCGATACCTCGTGCTGTTTCTTATCTGGAGAGATCTCATTTTGTCTCGTTCATTCACTAGTTAAGCCTTTCATGCACTCCTCTCTCTACTAGCAATGTCCAACTGTTTCGAAAAATATCTCTACACAAGCTGTGCCCCTGCGCTGCACTGCTCATCAACTCCGAAGGCCGATTTGACTATTAACGTTTCTCAAAGTTGAGGCCACCAGATAATCAGCTAATCCCTCACACTAAACACCTCGCAATCAGCCACCGTCCAATACTTACTTCATTATTCCAAGACAACAATGGCTGATGAATCTACGACACCGTCTCTTGCACCCTGGCAGATTCACGACAGATTTGTCGATATCGTCCGCAGCGACGCCTGTCCAATTCTTGATCTGATTCCATCATACGATCGTTTTCGGTTTGACTTGAACCAGTCCGAAAACAACGTCGTCATGTATGTGGGCGAGTATGGCGATGGCGAGATCATAGCGCATCCCGACGGCTCGGTGACGAAGCGCATCATCCGAGACTCCAACATTCGCAAAGCAGGAACCATCATAAAAGTCATCAAGCCCATGGGCGGGCAGTTTAGAGCTGTCGCGCCGTTCAGCTGGAGCGACAGTTCACGACAGGGTATCGGTACGCCGATGAGCGCACCAACACATGCTCTGGTATTGATGTATATGCACATCTGGGTTCTGAAAACTGGGAAGAACAATGTTGATCTACCCATGCCGGGGTATCAAGGGTTGTATGACGCATTGGTTTTGGTCCGGAATGCGATAGAAACAGAGAACCTGTTGCCGGTTAGGCAGTGCAGAATTCTAGCGGAGGTACTAAGTGCTCATCAACCTGGTGGTGTCGTCGACAAGGATAAGTCAATTAAAGAGGGTGTGGAGATGGAGGAGGCTTGAGCTAACACGTTCATAGTGACTCAACAGATACGCCATATTTCGAGACTGTTGCGCAGGCAGAACAATTTGTAAGATGATCGATCTGAATTTGGAGAACAGGAGCTTTGAAGATTGTAATGATGTGTCGATGTCGAACCTTAAGTTCCTGACGGTCTTCACATTGCGCTTTTACACACTGGGAGTAGCGACAGCAGCCAACGAACACACTTGCTGATAGTCTTATCACTACCATTTTGTATTCCAGCAGACGCTACTTCTAAATTTTGATATTATGAAAGTTGTTCTCTCCGAATACAAAAGCGATTAGAACACTGTGAAAGCTCATCTGATGCACTGAGGGTAGTTCAAGGCGAAGAAAATGATTATAGGGATTGAAACATGCTACTAGACATATGAAACTGACTACCAGCACACATCACTCTGCCCTCTTGTATTGTCAACTTCGAAAAGCTTGTCACCATCTATAACCATTCGTCTTTCCAAATCCCTTGCCGTCGCTGCCCTTCGAGATCCTGTCTAGCTTGCGCTTCTTGCTTGTTGTTCGACAATGCGTCGTCCGGTCGTTGTAGCAAGCGTCGTCACTGACATCTCCAATGACACTGTCCACATCGTCTCCAATCACGCTGTGAGCACTGTCTCCAAGCACGCTGTCGCAAAAGCTGGCGACAGCTTCCATGGGTTTATCCTGGTTCTCAGAAAAATCGAAAGTTTGACTGATACCGGTTATGTTAACAAGAGCTTGTCGCTTCAGCTTGAGTCTGACAACGAGTGACTCGTTGTACCGGTGATCTCTGTTCGCAAAGTTCGTTGGTAGAGCGGCGCGATCTCCATCCTCCGGAATTGGGTTCATCACTAAAGCGGCGCTTGGAACCTTCCTCTTCGATGCCGTATCACATAATGCCATTGGAAGTTTGGATTGAGGAGCCTCCGTGGTCTCCAAAGTTCTGTCATGCTGGACTGCTTGCTTCGCCACCGGCACTCCAACGGTGGTGCTGATGTAGTCCAGGGCAGCCATAAGACACGCATCGAATCGCGGCCATCGTATAGCACAATCGCTTGATTCCGAGATGAGCCCATAGTAGAAGACAACTGCGCATAGCATACCGCGCCCGTCTTTGGCGCCCTCATCAAGTTCCTGCTGCAGAAAGCAGAACGGCGGTCGAAGTTGACAAGCTTTTCGTAGGAGCGATGATGCAGCGCGTGGATATAGCTGGGTCGTCATAGCACCTTTGGAATTGATCGGTACCTCATCGCGGAACACAATTGGTGGCTCGCCCCCGGTATGATCGTCGTAGATGTACGCCCATACAGTAACTGTTTTCCCATCACTCTGGTTCCGATATCCGAGAAAGACTCTCGATGCCCAACGACCGGAGAGAATCGAGTGATGAAATTCGAAAGTAGCATGTGAGAGAGCTTCATCCATGGCAACCAAGAGATCGCGCCGCTTCAGCAAAGCCCTCAATCTCTTGATATGACGCTGCGACCCGCGCGGCAGTGTACTCTGAGCTTCGTTTAAACTAGACATCAGTCCTTATCTGAGATGCCTTGTGGTGCTTTGATGATATTAAGGTTGTAGGTAGAGGCGATAGAATGGAGAATTGTATGAGTCAGTTCGATGTTGGCTGGTATAGGTGACGCAGAGATCAATTGTCCATTACACGCCCGAAGTTACGACGACAATCGTGTCATTCTTGATATTCACAACATTCATTTCACCATTCTTACATTACATAAGCTTACATAGCCTCTTCAAGCGACTCTAGCGACCAAACTCCAAATGGCAGTCAGGTTCCTCATGCTCCTGAGAGAAAAGAGGACTTGTAGTGTGCTATAGAAAGTGAACCCCTCCAGCTTTTAGGGAAGGTTCGCCAACTATGCCCCATAGCTTCCATTCGATGGCAATACGTCGAACATGTATGGTTGTACAAAGGGAGTGACTGCTGCGACGCTTCTCGTACTGGTTGGCCGTAGCCACTCGTTTTCACACGCTCCTTGTACCCAATCGATTCGCTAGTGAGGTCTTGATGAAACAACACGAACGGTTTTAAGCTGAGATGATCGGTATGGAACTTCTCGTTATCATCGTTTGTGGATATTTGACTCGTAGGTGCCCGTTATCACTTGGCATCACCAGGGCGAACCATAGTCTACATCTATTGGTCATGAGCTAGGCTATCATAGTCAATCCTGAAAAGCAGTGTGTACGTCCGGGAAAATTCTCAGCTACGCTATCCCACTTGATTCACCCGCCCTCTTCTGTGAAGCGCGCTAGTGTCACGCTAGTCGCGACCCCATCCACAAAGTGCAAACAATATGATCAACACACAACAAGACGCGACTTGTCAATTTGGAAGACTTTGAGATCGCCTGCGGAAAACTCATCGCCACTATGAGTAACAACGATGCTGCTCTTGAGGCGATTCGGGCTGCCTTGGGCGCCAGTGCCCCACTCCTCCAACATCTCCCGAGCGACAAGGTCAGGATTAAGTCCTTCGATGCCAAAAAGGGAGATCGCCCTAATACTATGCCAATTCGTATGCTCTTCGGCCAGATCAAAGAGGGACAAGACAAGGACAGCACTGTGTGGATATTGCTACAGCACAACCACTCTGCTGACCGCTCGCCCTGTCACTTCTTCAACATTTTCGATCGCTTCGACTCAATCGTGGGTCAGATCAATGTGGAGGATGCTGTACGGCGCACGAATCCAACGGCTCCTTTCAAATGTCTCAAGAAATCAGGCGACATAGATGGAGAGCAGCTGCGGGCAGTAACCAAATACTACTTCATCTCGAAAGAAGTGAATACTTCTTCTCCATGGACAGTTGGACCACAGTTCATGAAGTCGCTCAGGGCAGCATGTATATTGGCGAGAGAGTATGGAGTAAAGGTGGCTGCGAACCAGGAGAGGGAAAAGAGTCGAGAGGCAGCTGCCCAGAAAGAATGCGGGATCAAACTGAAGCTCGAGCCTCCGGCATCCAAGGCCTGTGTAGGAGAAGATAACGGTGTCTCGGTCAAGCTGGGTGAAGGATCAGCGAGTGTCACTTCATCCGTCACTAGAGTTGCTACTCCTCTCATCACCAAGGCTAGGAGGACTCCGCAGCCTCCGAAACCGCAACGCGCTCCCATAGCCTCCATGATACCCTCAACTCAAGAATCATCTGATTCATCTGACTTGTTCATTCCAGAGAATGACCATGTTCAGGCTGCTTTCGAGCCCCCCGTCAATAACACCCGAGTCAGAATTCCGGACATCTCCACAGTTCCAAAAGCCATGATAGGTCCATCATATCATATGCCTCCGCTTAATGCAACGGCCAATGTCTCTGATGCTCCAAATTTCAACAGATACTGCGATTTTCTCATCCGCTCAGATTTAGACGGGACGAATGATGACAGCGCAACCATGGACACTTCAAGGTCAACACCTGCGCACACAGAATCTGGAGAGGTACTTGCAAGTCTGATCAGGATACTTCGGGTGAAGGCGCATATACTAACAAGATAATAGACCGAGAAAAGCCCCAATTCCCAGTCGCCCGACAACTTCGTATCCGCTTACCGAAAGAATACTAAGGACAGAGACGCTATAAAGAACGAGATCAAGGCTGTTACGAGAGAGCAGAAGGCCGTACAGGAGGCAATGGAAGCTGAGTTGGCCGGTCTTGAGGATAGGAAACGAAAGCTGAAGGAAGTGCTTCGCTCGACCGGAGTGGCAAAGAAGCGTCTTCGGGAGTCACTCTCGGAGAAGGAACGCGGGCTGCTTGTTCTCGGAATGGAACTCGCAGAGAAAAGGTTGAAGCGGTTAAAGACAAATGCACAGTCAGAGGAAGGCACCAGTGGAGACGAGGACTAGGTTGCTTTGGAATTGTTCGAGCGTAAGATATTGAGATGCACTGTGCTAGTAGCCCTATCTTTGGACGTGCTTTATTGAAGGTCTTCCAGAATTTCGTGTAGTAGGAATTATGAACCAAAATGCTCAGTCCTATTAGGATCTAAATCACATAACAACAAACTCCTCAAAGCATCTGATGTGCTTTGTACAGTGGAACGACAATATAACCACGATGGAGTACTACGATTGGTATCATCCTTGTTGGGATGTCACTGCATCGCTCTTCTCCGCATTGTTTCCTATCGTTGTCCGCTTTCTCTCCACCGTGTCAGCAGCCCATCTGTCGAACCATTATAGCAAGACCTTTACTGGTATACATTCGCGCAAGTCCTCCACTGAAATACTATCGCGCATGCGCTCCAGATTAAGGGTATTCCGCGCTTCGAGTTTCGTAGTCATTTGCTCTCTCAACGCTTGCCTCTTTTTCTCAAACTTATCTTCGTGCCTTTTATTTAGTGCTGCTATAGCATGCTCTTGGTTGTCGAGCTCTGGGTGGAGCTCTGATTCGTACTTGATGTCTTGTTCCTCGATAATCGTTGTAAGCTCCTCAATCTTGCGATTGAGCACAAGCAGCTCTTGTTCAAGTTTCACTGCCTTAGCTTTCGATTCGAGATAGTGATCAATATTCAGTTTCGATAGAATATGAGGGACGGTCTGAAGTGAAGCCTGTTGAGAGGCTTCCGTGGGAGGTACTTGGGGCACCATGGCGGCACTACCTGCGACAGGGAGTTGGGAAATGGATACGGTGCGGCTAGCGGGCTGGACTCCATGATCGGGAAAGGTCTCGTTTTGCTCCAAGCTAGCTTCCATCGGTTCCCTTCTCATTAGCTAGATTGAAATCAGTCTGGGGATCGCCCTGAAGAGCTGGAAGCTCACTTACAGTGGTGGGCTGGGATTTGATACGATTGCGAGCAAGTACGTTACAAGGCTCTTTATCAGCCATGGGGAATGGTTAGTACCAGTTCTCTTCACAGCCGGATGACTGTGAACTGTATTCCAAAACCTGAGCGCGACGTGGAGATAGGTTGGAGGAAATCGTAGAATCGAGATGGTTTCAAACCTTTATATTAGTAGCCCCAGGTAGCGACTACCAGTAACTGTCGTGAGACATCGCTTGCATTGTCTCGTGGATGCGGGCGCCCGTCTTGGCAACATAGATGGTGTGTCCGAGACATGTAATGCAACTGCAGTAGAAGTATTGTAATGCTATGAGGTCGGTCTTGAGAACTCGGATAGCATATGTAAGCTATGTTTGAGGTCAGGACTAAGAGGGCATTAGTTGTGATATCAGTATCGATCAGGACACATGCAGGCGCGAGTAGGGTACGCACAATCACGTGAGTTCAGTGGTCCTGGGTACGGACAACGTACGGTGTAATCATGGTATCGGACCCTTGAGAAATTGGCATCCTGGATCTAGGAGAAGTAGCATCAGAAAATAGCGGCCACTGCGTCATGTGGCGTGGGGCTTACGGCAAGATTCCGCAGTGACGTGTCGCACTCGTCTCCCCGGAACAGAGTTTCATGTGCTGCTCACTACTTGGCCGACTCACTGTATCACATCGATGTCTTAGTAGAAGACACGTTGACTGGTTTGTCGTCCCGCCACAAATGAGAAGTGCTGTCGACATGCTATCATTAGAACCTAGCTGTCTTATAGTAGCTCCCCTACTCGTACATTTCCAAGTAACTCTGCATGCTCAGATTTGCCTAGCCCGACTTATTATTCTTAGTCTCGTACATGTTGGACCAAAAAAGCGTCTGTCTGACAGTACCGTTCGTAAGCGTTGTACCGTATACGTACATCTTTCAGAACTTATTCCATCCTCTGGCGCTTGGCCTCCATTCTTCGTCCTGCTTCGAAGCCGAAGTCAAGATGCTCGTCTTCGTCCAACTTAATCTGTAGCTTCCTCTTCTCCGCTCGCACGCGAGCCTTCTCTTCTTCCAGGTCTCCTTTGCGGTCATCGATCGCGTTCATATCCGCTTGAAGCTCTGCGACCTGATCAGCAATATTAGCACGCTTCATCTCCATGTCACCAATCCTTCCGTCGAGCTCTTCTTCCTGAGCCTTAAGTGCAATGTACTGATCCATCATGGTGTTTCGATCGATGTCGCCCAGATGGCCTTCACCTACTGATTGTTCAGACTCGAGATTGCTCTCATTGACTTGAGCTTCTTCCATATTCTCCTCAAGGGTATGCTCGGGAAGAGGAGGCGGAGCAGTCACAAGGAATGGCGAAGGTGGCTGTGAGTAGGAAGAAAAGCCGCCGGCCTTGTCCTCGATCGCGTTGCTTCGCCCTGGCTGTGTATGAGACTCTCGGTGCTTGGAGAACTGGGGTTGGTCAGGACTTGCGCTATGCCGGCGCTTACGACCCTCGACGCCACTCAGGCTCATAGCCCGAGACGAGCCGCGCGACAGCGCTCTTGATGACAGGCGTGACTGGACTGGAGAAAGCATCGAAGAAGCTGACGAAGAATGACCTGGGAAGGGAGCCTCTGAAGCTGCGCGCGAGGGCTCTTGAAAGCCGTGGGGTCGCGCAGGATCCATCCCATGATTACCGCCAGTAGTCATGATCGATGAACGCCGGCTTCCTGAATCTTGGCTCTTCAACTCATCGAACACTTCCTTGTAATGTTGGCATACGCGTACAAGACTATCTCGAAAAGGTGCGGACGATACTGGAAATTGGAGTTGCTTGTCGATACCTTTTTGAATGAAGAAATATTTGGCGACTGCCTCGACTGCTTGGTAACCTTGTGCATGCTTGAATACCTTTGATGCTTGTGCGACTTTCTGGATTGTACCTGGACGCACGCTCGCCTCGTGATTTGCAGCACCTTTGATAGTTTGAAAGGTCAACATACTCGCATAGTTGCTCCTTTGCTTATGATGAGAATTGAGGGTAAAATAGATCCAGAGCTGATCCTTGTTCTCGAGCATGTCGCCATACAGGAGTCGCTCGGGCGCTGCTTCGGGGATCTCATACTGGTGCTCAAAGGTGGCGCACCTATAAGGTAGGTATCTCAGGAGAGCCGCATCTTCTTCAAGGTCGCGCCAGAGCTTGTCGAGGGAAGGGTTGCTAGCGGGTCGAGGAGGCAGAGCTTCCATGGTCGTGAAGATTGAGCTAGATGTTCTTCGAGTCTCTATGCGGGGCAGAGTAGTTGAGAGTGTGGGTCGAGGAGAACGCAGGCGGTAGTGATCAGTTTTGAGATATTGCCACGTACCTGGCGATATACGCTAACCGTGATTTTGTTGCAGTGCGTACAGGTAAGAATTCACGTGACGAGAGGCTTCAATAGCTCCAGACATGGATGCCCTTGCACACCAAAAATGCTGCGGGTTAACGCTGGTATGCTCCAACAAGATCCATGATCATACTACAACAGTCGTGTATGGATACTACACCGCCATGTCAATCCGTATCTCTTTATCCGTTTCGTATCATATCGCTAATATGCGTTATCCCTTTCCGCCCACTGCTCCACCGGCGCCAGCTGAATTTCACCATACCCACTCTGCACCGGCATACCAGCCACCAACTCTATGCTGGTAGGTTTCACGGCCCCAGCCTCAAGTCCCCAAATACTTACAGCAATGTAGTTATCGCCGCGATAGTTCAATATACCCTCGGGTACCGGAAATCGTCGCTGTGGTCCGATACCGTTTGCGAACTTACCGAATTGATATCCGTTAACCCAGAGCTGGGCGCGCCACCCTCGACCTTGGCCATTGAACGCGTCGCCATTAAAGATGAAAGACAGGGGTATGTCCCAGCCGCCGGGTATATCGAGGCGAAGGGTAGTACTGTAAAAGCCGACGCCAGCGTGTGACAAACCAGTACCTGGACCGGCGCTATCGACCCAACTTGAAGTGGGTGCGGAGGGGAGATGGTAACCTTTTCGTTCGACCCAAAGAGCGCCTTCGTTGAGCGGGCCGCGCGACTTGTCCAAGTAGGCTTCACCCCCAAGATTACCTGTTATCTTCCACCTGATACCGTCATCAAGTCGCGACGCATTGGAAAGAGATGGGGTGTGGCCTGGGAAGCTGTATCCAATGATGCCACGCGGTGTCTTCATCTCGTTGTATCCAGCAAACCAGTTGCCATACTGCCCCATATGGTCGCTCAACACTGTCAATACATAGTGCTCGCCGCGATGCAATACGGGCATGTTTAGTGTCATGTTTGCGATGGCCGCATCCTTAGTTCCCGGCCACGATCCGATAAAGGTCTGGTTTACCCAGGCTGAGAAAGCGAACGCTGGTCCTCCGGAGACATTGAGATGAATCACATCCTCATTGCCTGTCGCGATGAAGTGGCCGCGAGTTATCAATGAGCCCGTATTGTACCCATATTCAGAGCCCCAGAGTACGGTTGGGGTGGTCAATGGCCAATACGTATTGTTGGTATCAGTGTGATCGGCAGCCGTCCACGTTGAATCGTCGTACGATGAGTCGAGTTCAGGTAGCGCATCCGTGTATCTCCAATCGAGAGCACTCAAGCTTGGCAGCTGGAGAGCAGGAGCTTGAAAATCTACAGTAGCCTTCAGGAAGCCATTTCTATCGAGCTTCGACTGGATCGAAACTCCGTTGAAGATGAGCCCCCCACTATGTGCATGGGCACCCCCAAGTACCTCAACGTCTGTTGTTGCATTGACGTCGCCAGAAAGATGAATATCTGCATCTGTCATCGTAGCATTACGAACAAGGTAGCCAGAACGAACGATAAGATCGCTGGATGGTGTCGCAACATGGGAGTAGCTACCTTCCGGTGACGTACTCACGGTCCAGTAATCGTATGCAGAATTGCGGTCAAGTATGAGGATGTACAAATTCGAACCGACGCGTACCGTGCGACGTTTTTCACTAGTGGTCCAGTGCAAGATGGTGTTGCCGTTGCGATTCGAGAACTTGACACCTGAGCCCTCCACTGCTGTTGCTCCACTGGTCTCAGCGACGGCCAACTCATGGGTTTCACCCATGCCTCCATACACAATAAGAACTGTTCTTTCTTGGTAGGTCTTCCATGTAAAGACTTCGGCGCTGGAGTAATGCAAGTTGAAGTCGCCTATGTTGTAGTCTGCGACATGGATCTTTGAGTCACGACCGTTGATAGACAGCTCCCCTCCAAGCTGCGGTACTGTAATGTTGCCCTGGCTGGTTTGAACTGTAAGCTTGTATGTCTCTGATGCGAGGGAATTGTATTTCGTTTGGCGTGCGACGTAAAACCTGGTCTTTTCGCCAATGAGCGGCGTCACCGTGATGGCCTCATTGGTCGCGTAGACTCCTGTCGTATTGTATCCAGGTACTGCTGAAGCTAGCGCGGGCGACGCTTGCACAAAGTGTGCAATCAGCTTGGCCTCGCTGTATTTCTCACGATGTACCTGACGTTCTTCCGTAATGACTGCACCGTAATCGTACGACATGTAGTTGCCAGCACCCGCCAAGTTGCCCCAGTTGGTGCCACCGAATGTCTACCAATGGTTAGTACGAAGAGATATCAAGAAGATGAAGAAGTCTTACCATGTACACGTTCGATATTGTAAGCCCTGCAGCGATGTTGTTCTTGTAAAATACGCGCTCAAACTCTTTTCCTGTGAAGAGGGCACAACGATCAAAACCGTCCTGTCCCCAGCCTTGATACGCCCCGCCTTGAAACTCTGGAATTGTGTATGGTGTATTTGCGCTCTGATTGAGATGTGTCTCCCTCCAGTTCGTGGGCAAAGCATCGTCGATCCAGTAAGTAGGATCAGTACAGTTCATGCCTAATGGATACGAGTCATGGCCGTAGATGTCAACCGGGGCATCTGTGCCAGGCGCGTTAACGCCATTAGGCCAAGCAACATTGTTGATGAAAGGTACCACAATGCCAAGGTCCCGAAATTGGCGCATCAGTGTGTTCATATAATCCGCGTCAGGAAATGTTACGTTGTTCGCACCCATGGAATACTCGTTCTCGGGCTGGAACAATATGACTGGGCCACCGTTGGTTATCTGTGCTTTCGCGATGATGGGTGTTATCGATTCGATATAGTTCTTGGAGGCTGCCTGATAGTCCTCATCTGGCGTCCGAAGATTACCGGAGATGCGCTGCAGCCATCCCGGAAAGCCACCTCCCGATACTTCGGCGTTGATGTATGGGCCGGGTCGCTGCCGAGTCAGTAGGATACACTCACAATGGAAGTGCTTGTCTTACAGCAATGAGATAGATTCCGGTTTTTTTCGCAGCCTCAAAGAAGGGAACCCAGTCAAAGATACCCTCAGCACGGAAGTCTCCCGGCTTGCCTTCATGAATAACCCACGCAGAGTAGAAAGAAATACCATTGTATCCCATGGCCTTGATTTTCTGGAAGACATCCAGCCAAAGGCTCGGAACAGGAAGGCTACCTACGTTAGGACCAATTCATAACGAACAATACTTGACTTACCGGAAGGGATGAAATTCGCCGCCCCAGAAAATGACACGCTCGCCGTGAACGAAGAGCGAATGCTCGTCCCACGTTACCTAGAGCTGCTATCAGATACATGAAAGCATGCCAGGATTTATAGAACCCACGATATCTTGCAGCGGTGCCCGCTCCTCCACGATCAGACTGCGTAAGTCTCCGTTTATTGCTCGTGCTGCCGCATAATGCACATAAACGGACGCGAGCGCAAGGCTCATGAGCCCGCGCAACATCTTCATTGTACTTGATCAAGCTCAAATGCAACGAAGAAAGAATCTAGATCTTGGATCAGGGAAGATTGGTCGTTGTAACCATGCCTACTGAATACTATAAGGTCGATCCTGAGATCGTCAAACGGCCGCTTGCCGTCTTTGGCGTGGCCGTTGTCCGTTTCCAATGGGGTTTAAGTCCATTTTCTTGCATACCTACGTCCCGCCATGTGCACGTTGACGCGACGACATCAGATGTTGGAGATGCAACTTAACGACGGAGAAATAGGTTCCAGTGCGGGGTAAGACAAATATTATTCCGGCAGCATCATAAACCAACTACAGCGAACTGTTTTACGATGTAATTGATGTGGTCTAAGCAGAAGATTGTTCAGGATGGGGAGAGATCAGGCACGAACGGGAAGAAGTGAAGGTGGCCAAGTCGCTTCTAGTTGATGCCGACGCGTTGAGAACGCGTGACGTCAGCGGAACGCGCTGCACCAATCTCGGGTCTAGCTTCCAAAATACCGAAGTCTACCCTAAAACCATTGCTCGTGGAATATTACTAATTGAACAAGACAGTGATCTCATGTAGTCAAAGGTATGTTGTCCATGATGGGTGTTGTTCTAACACATACGGGATCCTCCGTCTGCCTAGTAAAGTGAAACAACCTACGAAAGATTTCGTATTCTGCGGATCCTGCTCCCCCAATTCTTGGGCGAACCAATCTTAATGTATACATGGTACTCTACAGCTTCCTTGAGTACTGTACGGAGCATGCGATGATTCCCTGACCAGCATCTCAAATCTTTCTCATCGCGTAGTTTCCCAAAACCTCATCGAACTTTCAGCGCTTCTTCATCATCTCCCCGCCCAGCTTGTACGCTTCCATGGCACTCATGCCCTCCAATAACTGTTCTCGGCGAGCAGCAATCTTGATTAGCTTCTCTTCAATCACTCGATTCTTCTCTTCATCCTCCTGAAGTGTCTCGCCTATCTCTTGTAGGGCAAGCTTCGTCTCCGCTATCTCTGCTACTATCTTGCTCTGGGAATCTCGGAGTTCAACTTCTTCGTCTTGGAGTTTGGTGCGATCTTCGACCAACTGAGAAGCTGAAGCGCTGTAGGTCTGCTGAGGTGAGCTCCATCGTACGAGAATGTCAGCGTGCTTACTTACAGAAGCAGGTACCGTTGCAGGAGTGATCGGCTGGGCGGGCTCAAACGGATCCTCTGGAGCGTCACTGAGAACGCTATCCTCATCATCATCCACAAGCGTTGCTGATTGGGATCGCGACTGCGTGTCCGAGAGATTGGCTTTTGCCTCCGCCTCAAATTCGCGGCAAGCGGTCTTCAGCGCGTCGATAAGACTACGCGTGATGGGTATTGGTATTGCTAGGTCATATTGGCGTTCCTGTTCCGTCCACCTTGATATGATAATATTAAGGAAGTAGTACTTTGCCAGTGCTATATACTTGTTCTTCGAACCTCTCTTTGGTGTTTTGAAGGCACCGGCAATCGTGGTGATCGTAGCGCTGATGTTACTGTCGTCATGCCTGGTCTCAGGATCTAATGAGTGAAACTGCACCTCCGCATTTCCACCTTCTTTGTTTGGTGGGTATAGCAATATTCAGACATGTAGTAATTTCTTGGTGTACTTGTCGGTGATCTGACCAAACAGAAGCTTGAAAGGGACAGCGCGCTGGTCATGTGTCTGAGGTGCATATCTGATCTTTGAGTGCGGCGCGTAGTCAAGCAGGGCTTGGCCTTCGACGCCTAGCTCTTTGCGTAGCTGAGCCAGGTTTGCGATAGTGACAGTCATGGTGGAGGTCTCTGGCTGAGTGGTTGTGCGTCAGGATGTTGGTGTGATACTGTTTAAGATACTAATGATAAAGACCTGTGCGAGGGAACTATGATGAGATTGCGTCTAACTTCTGGCTGGTCGCGGTTGTGTTCTTATACTGCATGTGCTTTGTTTACGCGGCAGGAGTTGCGTGTGGACTTAGCCCCAAGAGTAGCAAGCGCTTGACTCAAACGCGCTAAGGATAGCGGTGGTGAAGAAGGAATGACGGATAAGTGCGCGCAAGACTTGAACACCATCAGCACACAATCTGTCGCGCATTTGTTGCAGGTATGGCAGAAATGCAGTTATGATATGATTTTCGAGAGGCTACGAATTCTAAATCTCGCACACATGATTGACTTGTCTTCAGCATGATTCTGTTGTCACATTCACTTGCAACATCCCTCCTCGCGAAGACGCCCTAGCCGCTACGCAGATCCACCTAGTGAAGGAGGCTCGCCAACGTCTTCAGTGTCATCCTTGTTGTTTTCACGGCGCTTCTTCTCTGCATGCTCCGCACCGATACTGGCATCCAAGAGGTATAATCGTCTAAGTCGGGCCTTGCTACTCTTGACGGCTTGAATTGCCTTCTCAATACGACCATTCATAACCCTCCTTTGCTCTCGAAGCAGAGAGGGCGATATGAAATCATTGTACGTCGAGCTTGGACGGCGATCGACAAACGAATTGGGAAATTGCAACGTTGACTTTGATATAGAACGCTCGTTGCGCTCCTTGGCAGCTCGTGGAGAAGATGACATTGAAGCTTGGAGTCTTTCCCAGTGTACTGGACGGTTGTATTTGACGGGCATTGGCTCGGATATTGCATAGCACGGCATTTTCGTGTGACTCCGATCCGTCTCTAACGAGTGTCGATCTAGGGAAGAAAGGCCGGCGTCGCTTGAATGTCGGGGGAAGCATTGTAGGCCATATGTGGCGACGAAATCTGTGTTTTTCTTCTCGAGATCGTGACGCATAAATCCATTAGAAGGTCGATTGATTTCATCGATCGTAAACTGGTGAGTTCCACTCGATCTATGTCGATCTGTCGATCTGGATTTGTCTGACATATTATTGCTTTGCAATTCTATCTCTTCAGATATTGCTTCCAAACCTGATGGCGCATTATCCCGCTGATTGAATGATTCACGAACAGTACCTCGATGGCGCCAGTTGTACGGTGGTGTTGGGGACAAAGTACCGCGTGTGTGGGATCTGGACGCTGTCTGGACATAGCCATCTCCCTCGTCATCGTTCCTTCGATAGTCCGGATTGTCAGCATCGTGGTAAGCAGTAGATGGCTCAAATTTTGGCGATCTATTCTCATCTTCTCCAAGCGGGTAGAGTCCCAGTACACTAGTTCCGTTATCACTCTTGGCTGGGTTGAGATTTGATGTGTCATCACTGTCTTCCCGATTTGGTCCAACCCTTGCTACGCCGGGTCGTTCCGCATAGCCTGGCGGACGCCGGCGGTCACGTTCCTTTCGACGCTTCGGAGGTGCTTTCGAATCATCGCTATACTCCGAAAACGAAGACTCCGGTGTGAGCAGATCTGGATCATAATGCTGGCACAAGCTGGTCAGATGCTGTACAAACGACTCGTTTACTGGGATGAAGTCATGTTGAAAGCCCTCCACTCTTGCCTCTACTGCCAGTAGGAAGTAGTATTTCACTACAGCATACAGCTCACCGTGTGTCATGGCTTGTTTGAAGGGAGGTTTCAGTGTAACCTCCTTCCTAAGTGAGCCCTCATCCCAGCTAACGTTCACGATGTTATGCCCACGTCCGTACTCTTCATCGCCCTCCATGGTGAACATGGGTCCTATGGAGCGATTTTTGTTTGGGCGCAGATATGCATATACAGGGTTTCCCCATCTCGTCAGAGATTTATCCGCAAAGGTACCGAGCAACAAGCGTATGTTCGCTATAGCCACTGGCTTACTGTGTTTTGAGAACTTCAGCTCACTTAGAAAGGGTAGCTTGGCAAGTAGACGTGCTGGAATGTGCTTTCGAAGAGCGGAAATTGCATGAGGGCCCGCCGAGATGCTTTCGATGTGAATGATAGGGTTAGTTTCTGGGGCAAACGAGTCGTCCGACCAAACTCCACTATCCGACTGTTGGTCATTTCCTCGGGTGGTCTGCGGTGTAGGAGTTTCCATCCGATCTTTGACAGCTGCTTGCATACCTGCACGGGTGACTGGGCCAGGTCCTACGTCTCGTGGTGGGATATCGATGTTGTCAAAATCTAGATCCCTGACGTCCGCTTGGAGATCAGAATCGTGGTAATCAGGCTCTTCATTCTGACGACTGTGGCGACGGGAGCCAGCTGCCATGTTCTCTGTAGAACTGGTAACGTGATATTGTCGTTCAGAGATTTACCGATGGGTGTGTTCCGGATGGGAGTCTTTGGCGCTCGATGGTTACTTGAAGCCTTCCTTTTCGGTCAGCAGGATAAGCTACAATGATGATGATGGCTTGACAGTTTCGGATTTGGGTATTCCAGCAACTATTCAAGGTATCCAGGCAGGTCAGTTGTGTGTTCCGTGAAAGGTTGAAATAACAACTTAGAAAAGCAAGAGTTTATACAAGAAGTGGAGATTCTTAAAAAGACCCGTGGAAGCCCTCTTCGGGTTCATTGTGCTGGAAGTGGCGAGAATCCTCATATACAAGGTCCGTTCTTTCCACTGGATAGGTCGTGCTTCGAGTTGCCTACAGATACGACCAGATCTGCAAGGTCCGCGTTACGCGCACGAGCCCGAGTTCCGGAATTGCCTAGGATCCACGCTGAGTTGCGAAACTCGCGGAAACTTGCTGAATTCTCTTGGCACGCCTCTTGGGGGTAACGCTGCCATCAATGGCAACCCATTTAGCAGCTTCAGCAAAGCGATCATTCGATGGATGACGAAGCTAACGAAAGTGGCAAAAGATCAGGACTCCAGGATTCGATGAGCGTATGGCCTTACTGCGGGAAACTTCTCTAGGATGTAGCGCGGCACCTTCTGCCTGATAGACACCCCTTCATGGTCGACAAACGAAAGACTTGAACCCTCATTAGGGCGGTTTGAGGGTGCGCTCTGGTATCTGTCTGGCAATATCGTGGAGCTTTCTTTGAATCCGCTGCGCCGGCCGGCATCCATACCATGGGGTCGCTAGGCGCTTCTACTGTAGATGTTCATGGTTCTGCTTCGAAAAACTGCCACGCTTCACGTGTTGAGATCGGTTTGGTACACCAGCATGCGGTTTCGACTACAAGGTAAACTCTTTCAGATATGAATGAGCATCGAAAAGCAATCGATAGCTTGAATCGTGACTAGAAACCCCATCTAGGGTGAAGAGAAGAACTGAGTAGATTGGCCTGTTCTCGCGGGCGTCCCTGGATGTTAAGCAGAGCCTTTCCATTTCAGGCACTAGCGCGATTCGGTAAGATCGCGACATCATTGATTCCGAGATTCGGCTTCGTCGCGTTCTCCTGCATACCTTGCGACATTCTCACCACGATGCGCGGAATATCATCTCCGCCTCCCGCCACCAATATCACCATCATGCACAAAAAGCCCGCAAATGGTTTTGATGATTCTGTTCGACGTGCCCCCTTCACGCAACTGAGCTGTCTCATCTCTCTAACATAGGAAATATAATCCGTATCGCAATGGACGAACACTGTAATTCCAGTTTGTATGTAGCATCTTCGATCGCCCAGAAGGCATTCACTGACTTACCGAAGGACATGTGATTATAGATAGACCGTGTCCATGCAGGTACAATCATTAAAGACATAAGCTACCCCCTACAACCTTCATTTGTACGATCCAACGCACCATGCCACACCGTAACGCGCCGAAGCGCACCGAACCAAACCGAATCACAATCAAGCTACTTCTGCGTGTAGTTTCTCCTCCTTTTCCATAGCCGCCGATGCCGCTGCGGGATCTTGCAGTGCATGCGGCACCAGCTGATCACCGAAGAGTTCGTCCATCTGTTCCAGAGTCTTGCCTTTAGTCTCCGGGTAGAAGAACCAATAGCAAAGGAAGGCGATAATGTTGAAGCAGAAGAAGACGTAGAAATACTTGAACTCTATGGAGCTTAATGCTTGCGGAGAGAACTGGGCGAAGATGAGGTTCACAACCCAGTTTGTGAATGTCGTAATGGCATTACCAAGGGCGCGGCACTCGATAGGGAAGATCTCTGCGGGGTAAACCCAGGATATAATACCGAGAGGTGTGTAGAAGAACGAAAAGAGGAAGTTCATGGCGACCATACTGCGCAGTTGTGGGCCGTTGTTGGGATCGAAGTACTGTCCCTGTACCGCGTTGATGAGCAGGGCTGTCGCTAGGCCAGCAGCTGATATGAGAAGGGGCTTTACACGTCCAACCTTGTCGACTAGCGCAAGCCCAATGGTACACCAGACGATCGAAAGCGCACCGCTGATACCAATGATCATGAGCGATTCTTGTGTCGATATTCCAAGGATCTCGTAGATACGTGGGCCGTAGTAGTTGATAACGTTGATTCCGGATAGAGGTCCAAAAGCTTGCACACCGCAACCGAGCAAGAGACGCTTACGCCATGAGGTCTTAGTGATGATCGAGGTCCAGCTAATGTTGCCCAGAGCCCGGTCCGCGATGATGACATCCCGAATCTCTCGGAATTCGAGGTCGATAGTCTCCGCGTCGTGGCCCCTACGGAGCTTGTTCAGCGAGGCCATAGCATCTTCATGGCGATCTTTCTCCATGAGCCATCGAGGTGATTCCTGGAGGAAGAAGATGCCAGCCAGCAAGACGAGGCCGGGGACGTTCTGGAACGCAAGCGGAAAGCGCCCTTACATGTATTAGGCCAAGCAGCACGTCGTGTACAAAGCGACTTACATGAAAATTGGGTGCTGTTGAAGGAGCAGCCATATCCGAGCCATTGGGCGACAAAGAAGCCCCAACTCAACATCCACTGTAGTAGACCCGAAAGGGTGCCACGATATTTTGCCTCCGAAAGCTCACCAGCATACATAGGAATGGTCGAAGTGAGCTGACCGACTGCGACTCCACCGATAAAGCGACCGACGATAAGCATGGCCATATTGACAGCGCCTGCTTGAAGGGAACTGCCCAATATAGAAATGACAGCCCCGACGAAAATAGTCCAGCGACGGCCTAGCATGTCCGCGAACAGCATATTGAAAATGGTTCCTGCAATCGCGCCACCCTGAAAGGCAGACACAATGCCACCAACGACATCGTCCGAAGGATCGCTGAAGTACTCTTTGAAGGTGTCGAGAGCGATGGTCGAGGTAATGATACCAGAGTCGTAACCGAAGAGGAAACCTGGGTACAAGTTAGTTACTGATCTCAGTAGCCTGCGACCTGCCACATGGATATCTTACCCCCGGTCGCTAGAAAGATAGCGGAGAAGACAGTGACTGCGAGACCCATCTTGAGTAACGATGTCAGATGCTGTGGAAAAGTGGATCTATCGCCATGCGAGACTACGCTTTATGTATCAAAGACAAGCATCGTCGCATGTTGTCTCCAATGCTATCCCGGGCTCTACTACTCCGAAGCCAGCATTGGCTGACACGTGCATGTCTCTAGCCGCGTATCAGGGAGACTCTTTGTCAGGGGCTGAAAAGCTTGTCATGCGCATCTTTAGTCAATTTTGCACGAAGAGATAGCGATGAACAGCAAGGGTTTGCTCTAAAAGTCCGGGGTCGGGATCGAGGTGCAGGCCAAGCGGCGATGCCTCTTGGTGGGGTCCCCGCGTTCGCCTCGGCAGCCTCTTCGGCACACATTTTACAGGTTGGATGCGCGATCTCCACTTCGGGACCACTTCGGAGCCAGATCTAGCTCAACGGTCGCATTAGATCTGCCAGACAGCGTTTGGTAGACGTCGCAGCGAATTCACCCGAGCCTCGCGACGATCTTATCACGAATAGTATTTTGACTGATGAACTGAAGCTGTAAATGACCGGTTGAGCCCTTCCACCATGAAAGCCACCAAATCTCCGCCTTCCCGATATCCCTATCCGCACTCGATTGTGTTTCGCTCACGGGGAGCAGTCTGAGTCCGCACGAAGCTGTTACCTCTTTACGATCAACCAACATGGTTCTGGAAATCACACGATGCGGCATACATGCTTTTCACGAAGTCCTTGGCATTGACACGGACATGATACGCTTCTTCTGGGTCCTGCATTCGGACCGCGGGGATAGTCAGCAAAAGGCGTATCGCATCGACGTTTCAATCCAGCAGTCATTTGAGACCCTGCTATGGGACTCTGGTAAAGTGGAAGGCGATAGGCAACGGAATGTGCTATGTGCACCCGAAGGAGGTTTTCACTCGGCGACTTTTCATTACTGGAGAGTCACGGTGTGGGATTCAGATGACCGGGCGACGACAAGCACAGTGAACGAATTCTTCACTGCATATCCAAGATCATCTGGGTTACTACCACCTTACAGCATGAACCAGACCTACATGCCACATACCAGCCTCATCTTTCGTACATGGTTTGAAGATGAACCAAACCGATGGAAAGGCGTTTGGATTGGCGACAACGGGGACAAGCCGCTGTACGTGCGCAAAGCGCTACGTCTTGATCGAGAACCGTCTCGTGCAATCGCCTTTGCCTCAGGTCTTGGTCATTGCAACTTCGTTTGCAATGGCAATCCCGCAGCGGCCAATGGCCACGTGCTGGATCCGGGCTGGACTAACTACCACCGCACCGTACAGTTCGTTGCATACGACTTGTCAAACATACTGACACAAGGGGAGAACGTAGTTGGCGCACACATCGGCAATGGCTTCTACGCTGGTGACCAAGGCGACGACCGTTTCTTCTGGCCGTGCTACGAAGATAACACATATGTCCGCTATGGGAATGAACTCTGCTTCTTCATGGAACTGCACCTCTTCTACGACGATGGCAGCCGGGAGACAATCACTACTGGACCAGACTGGAATATCCGGAAGAGCGCGACCACGCTGGCGAACATTTACTCTTCAGAAACCAAGGACTTACGTAACTACCCGGCAGGGTGGGATGCGCCAGGCTTTCAAGAAGACGAACAATGGAAGTCTGCGACGCCTGTGACAGGTCCAAGAGGAAAACTGAAGTATCAGAGTCAGCCACCCGTGGTGCTCCACGAGACATTCGAGCCACGATCGAAGAAGACTCTTGAGCCTGGCGTCGTCATGTTCGACTTCGGACAGAACATGACGACGATGGTGAAGATCCAGGTCAGCGGACCAGCTGGCTCAGAAGTCATTATCCGTTTCTCCGAGACCATTGGCGAGGATGGCAAGGTTCTCATGCCAGATCCACTGTTCAAGCAGTTTGAGACAGGCGTTTTCTGCAAATTTACTTTGGCTGGTACTGGGGTGGAGACCTGGGAGCCTGACTTCTGCTTCACAAGTGCACGATACATCCAAGTCGAAGGCGTATCACTCGAAGAAGCACAGGGACTACCGGTCGTACATCGGTTGGTTAGCAGACACGTATCGTCCGCTGCACGTCGTCTAGGCTACGTTAAGACGGATAAAGAAGATGTCAATCAGCTCATCGATATGTGTTGTTGGTCTTTCGTTAGTAACCTCTTCAGCTACCACACTGATTGTCCCCAGCTAGAGAAATTTGGATGGCTCGAAGTAACGCACCTTCTTGCGCCGGCCACCCAATATATTCGGGACATGGAGTCGCTCTACTCCAAGATCCTCGATGATATCTTCGATGCGCAGGAACCAAACGGTCTTTGCCCTACCATGGCACCCGAAATCAGATACATGTGTGGCCCTCTACACGACACAATCACCTGGGGAGGCGCCGTCGCATTACTTCCTGAGATATTGCGCTTCTACTACGACTCCACGCACGTGTTCGAGAAACTGTTCGACCCCTGTGTACGCTACATGGAGTATATCAAGACCAAAGAGCGGGACGGTGGGCTCATTGAACACGGCCTGGGTGACTGGGGACGCGACATAGCCTTTGGCAACAACCAGGCCAACATCGAAACTGCTGTATACTATCGCTGCCTCCGGAACATTCAACGCATGGCCCACGAGCTGAACAAGCCGGAAGCTGAAACGCGGTTCCGCGAATGGGCAGATCGCATATATCGCGTATACAACGAGCGACTTCTCATCACCGATAAGAAAGAGTATCCCTACGCCTTCTACACGTCTCGCGACGACCCCTCAAAACATGACCGCAACATGGTGGCCCAAGCCTTTGCACTTCAGTTCGACCTCGTGCCTACCTCCCACATCGCAGACGTACAGGCTGCCTTCCTAGCGGATTGCGCTTCCGCTGGCAACCGGATTCAAGCTGGCGAGATCGGTTTGAAGTACCTCTTTAATACACTCTCTGACCTGAACCGCCCAGACATCATCCTAGAGATGGCGCGACAAGAAGAGCATCCAAGTTACATGCGCTTTATCCGGAGGGGAGAAACGACACTGAATGAATTCTGGCAAGATAATTGTAGGAGTAAGTGCCATGACATGCTGGGAACGATATACGAGTGGTTCTACGAGGGTGTGTTGGGTGTCCAAGCGGAGACGGAGGCGTATAAAACGTGGAGGGTTAAGCCGCCGTTCGGAAGCGAGTTCGGGATGGTGGAGGGGAGTGTGGAGTGTCCGTATGGTAAGATCAAGGTCAAGTACGAGAAGACAAGTGGAGGTGGCAGCGAGGAAGCGAAGATGTGGCTTAATGTACCCACAAGCACAACAGCCTATCTGCTACTTCCCAGTGCGGACAGTAGCGCTGATCTAAGAAGACTCGGTCAAGGCGGGTACGAGGTACGGAAGAAGGGAACAAGGGTAACCCTAAAGCCGGGCAGTTATGAGTTGATGTTACATGCCTGAGCTTAAATTACTGAACCGTGGTAATGCTATAGATGGTACGAGATTGAATACTACAAATCTTATCAAACAGTAATTCATGGCAAATTGTAGAGACATGATAGCAAACACCCACTAGTGCAACACTAGAAATCCATCAACTACCAGAGCTGGCAAGTAGGTTCCTTAACCTTGCACTGGAAGCTCTCCCTGAACTCCCTTGAGTTCGCCATGGTGCCCAGAATGCGGGCCCACTTAGGTGCATGCGGGTCGGTGTAGATGCGGTTAATTGCGGTATCCTTGCGAGTCTTGCCACACCACCAGTTGCTGTAGCTGACGAAGAACATCTGCTCTTGAGAAAAGTGGTCCAAGCCAGGCAGGTTCTTGTTTGGTGTCTCAGCTGAGCGGCGCTTCCAAGCCTGGAAAGATGCTGACAGACCACCAGCGTCAGCAATGTTCTCACCAAGAGTAAGACGGCCGTTGACGTGCAGAGGCTTGTCGTCTGGTCCGGGGATGGTGAAGTTCGAGTACTGGTCGACAAAGCATTCGACCTTGTGCTTGAAGGCATCCACGGTTTCCTTGGACCACCAATCAGTGTAGTTGCCATTCTGGTCGTAATGGCGCCCGGTGCTATCGAAAGCGTGGCTAAGCTCGTGGCCAGCAACAGCACCGAAAGCGCCGTATGACATATAGGCGGGTACGTTGACATCGAAGACCGGGAATTGCATGATACCAGCAGGGAAGACGATCTCATTACCAGGAGGGTTGTAGTATGCGTTTACTGTTGGAACAGTCATGTCCCACTGGTCGCGATCGACGGGCTTTCCGAGTGCAGACCACTCTTCCTTGACAGCGAAGCGGCGCATCGCAAGGGCATTGGCAAAGAATGCATCTGATGATACATTGACAGTCTCGTAGTACTCCTCGAGTGTAGGCGGGTCCATAATGTCTGGGCTCTTCGTAGGGTATCCAATTTTCTGGACGATGTTGTGCACTTTCTCGACAGCCTTCTTTGTGGTATCCTTGTCCATCCAGTCTGCAGCATTCAGCTTCTTGGCGAACTCGGTCTTAATGTCTGTGATGATAGTGTCACCGAACTTCTTTGCGTCAGCCGAGAAGGCCTTCTCTACGAAAAATCGGCTCAGAATCCATCCTAGCCCATTGTCTACGTGGCTTACGCATGTGCGCCAGCGTTCAGGAGCGGAGTCCGGGTCCTTGCCTGAGAGGACGTTGACAAAGCGACGGTAGGGCTTGACAGCTTCCGCATCGACGTAAGAAGAGAAAGATTGAACCGCCTTCCATACAAAATAGCTTTGGAGAACATCTTTGGGCGTAGCTGCGAGTATTGCTGATAGATCCTTCAGGTAATGCGGGGTCATAACAATGATACGTTTGATGTCCGTACCGTGAGGCGCCTGGTCCGCGAGAAGCGCTTTCAGCTCGATTTCGGGAGCGATCGCAGCCGCTTCATCGATAGACATCGGATTGTAGTACTTCGTAACGTCTTCACGATCTTCTTCGCTAGGGGACGCAGCCGCAAGCTTCTTCTCAAGATCGATGATACCTTCAAACACGGCCTTGTCTTGCTCTGGGTACAGAGCGCTCAGTACTTCAACAGTCACACCACGGTACTTCTCGACAAGCTTGTCGTCTTCGTAACGCTCTTTGGAAGGTAGTCCGAAGTTCCAGGGCGCGCTAACAGACACGACGACGGTGTCTGGGTTGGTTTCGTCCGCACCAGTGCCAGCTGAGACGAGTCCAGTGACACCGTACTTGGCGAGAAGAAGGATGGCGTCCTTAATTGAGTGTGAGTCTGAAGTCACAGCAGGGTACACCTTTTTGATCTTCTCGAGAACATGCTTGAGAGGCTCGGCGCCAATACTCTTGATCTGATCTTCGTTAAGACAGGCATCGTATGCAGCCTTCATCTTGTCAAAGTTGACCTCATCCGCAGACTTGGCAACCGACATGAGCTGCATAGGCGAGAAGTAGGAATGCTATGAGGTATTAGTCCTGTTTCGTACATCAAGCAAGGATAGACTCACCTCAGAATCCTTTGGGTACGGTGCTTCAAGAATATGACGAAGCAGCATTTGTGAGTTTTCTGACATTATAGTCCCGGTAAAGGCATCACCCTGGTCGGCTCGCAGATCATGACGTTCTCTCCATCCGCCGCACACAAGTTCTTCGAAGTCATCGCACGGGTCAAGCTCTTTGTATTGAGGCGAGAGGTTGTAAAGAACCTCGGAAGCCGCATGGACACAGGCAGGAGTCATGCATAGTTCGCTCTCCTCTGGGTAGTTGCCGAGAGTCTCATCATCCACTTCACATCGGTTAGCTGCGACGTATGATTGAGAGAGCAATGTACATACATTGCGGAAGACCATAGAGTATGATCGAAGCCGCCGCAGCGATAGCGAACACCCTTCCCAACGCGTGACGTTTGGAGTAGCGTTGCACGTGGCCCGGCTGTACGGTGGCGGACGCGTCGGATGCGAGCAGTGGCGCCTTTTCAGCCATGGTGGAAAGCTGACAACGCTTGGTCAGAATGAACGCAATGGGGAAACAGTGGAAGTTTGTATGATGCCAGCCAGCTGAACACCGAGATGAACTGGTGATGGAGAGGAGGATTGAGGGAGGAAGCGGCGATGTAGGCAGCAGGTGGCTAGAAGTGGAGATCCGGGGTGCAGCTGACGCATGTTGACGCGGAAACGCTAAGCACGGGACCTTGCAGCTGTATGACTCGCGTATCTCTCCAACGTCATCTCAGATCACTCCATACTGCTCATCACAACACCAGAAGTCCATCACTTGCCATCTTGTACGCGCATCCAGCAATACGTCTTTATCTTCATACCGTACAACCGCGTTGCTGTATCATCCGAGATCCTCTAGGTGCAGCGCTGTGCACTTCTCGGCAACCACCGAATCGATGGCCTATGCGCTTGCGGCTCCGGTCCGGATTGCCTATCGGTGCGCACCCAGTTATCTAGCTCCGACTGCTGACTCTCATGCACAATGTGAACCTGCTCTCAAAAGCAATGTCGGAGTGCGGACGCCTCAGTCAGCTAACGTTCACGAGAAGCTCACATCACCAGCATCAACAATCATTGTTCGAAACAACTGCTAGGACGATCTATCATTCTGCAGCACCTATGGGCTCAACACCAGTCGTAATGCCATTAACCCAACCTAGGCGGAAGCTGCGCGGACCGGAATAGTGTCCGCGCAGAAATATGTACAAGAAGATTTGGGGCTGATTGATCAGCTACCTATGATCGCCAACGAGCTTACTCGCCTGAAGGTCCGGCAATCGTGGTACCCGGCTTCACTGGGGTCCCAAAGTTGGGAGTGCCGTCAGAGTTCCAGTTGACCTTTTGCGCCATTGTGTACCTGTTACCATCACAAGCTCCGGTTGTGATAGCAGTAGCGTGGTAAACGTTCCAGATTTCCTTACCATCAGGGCTGACAAAGAATCTATATATTCGTTAGCATCTGACATCTTGCGGTGTCGGTTATATAGCATACCCATTGTGACCGGGACCATAGTTGCCATTAGCATTGGTGAAAACTGGTCCGCTGCTCTTCTTCCAGCTGGCGGCGAGCGCTGGGTCCCCAGATCCGTTCCAGGTGAGTAGGCCCAAGCTGTAGTTCGGCGTCCAGCAGAAACTCGCCGAGTAAGCGATGAATGTTTTGCCGCCGTGGTACATAGCAACAGGGCCTTCCTGAACAGGGCTGCCGTTCCTTTCCCAAGACTCAGTGGGTGTAGAAAGAATCTTAGTGGCGCCGATCTTTCCAGGTGAGGTCATGGGTGCGATGCAGAGTGATTGGAGGTTGCCGGACATGCAAGACCAGGTGAAATAGTTGCCCCATTTATCGAAACGCACGATAGAGCCATCAATACCCCATACGTTGGTGAGCTGGGAAAGGTAGGTGTACGTGCCGAAGGGGTCCGCACCACCTATGACTTTGTCAGATTACGCTCCATATCTTTGTCAAACTGTCTTACCCTTGAGCACGTAAGGACGCTGAAGATCCAGGTTGTCGACACCATTGCGGCCGGCGGTGTAGTAGATGTACCAAGCACCATCAATGTAGTGCAGTTCAGGTGCCCACATGTTGCAGCATCTGTCTGGATTGCTATCCGTCCAGACTACTTTGGTCTCCCCTGTCTTCAATCCTCCCAACGTCTTCGCCCTCGTAATTGATAAGTTCGTCCACGTCGTGGTCATCATGTAGTAGTAGCCTCCGCTCCACGCAATGTGAGGGTCTGAGCCATCTTTTTGCTTGAGCGGGTTACTGAAGCTTGCTGCGCTGACGAGGGAGGAGAGGGCGAGCACACAAGTGCCAATGGACTGAAGGAACTTCATCGTTGTGGAGAGTAAAGAAACAAACTGCAACTGGTTGGAAGATACAATGTATGATCATGGAAGTTCATCTTATAGAGTTCGCTGACATCGTGGTCTCGTTGCACAAGGAGATTAAGGCTTGCGCCACAAAACCGGTCCTTCCGCCCAATGCTTGGAATGTCATGTACACCCAGCTTTCCACGAATAGATAGAAAGACTAGGAAGCTGCCAAGATACGTATAGTAACAATCCGGGGTAATGGGCGGAATTGAGAATAGACTGAGGAGCGGACCACTGGGTGTTTCAATCTTGGCTGCTGTGAAATGCTCCGATTGGTGCAAATTGCTGTAGCATGCCCGCATCCGGCACTTTTCCGCCCCACACAAAAAGTCCTTTCCATGCGCCGGTCATGGTAGTTTCTAAGACAGCTGTCAAGCGTCGGGAAGGGCTGGGGGCGCTCTCAATGGGCGTGCGGAGGATCCTAAATCCTGGGGCTGAAACGTAAGGCTGCTGCACAAACCAAAAAACGCTCGCCCGAGAAGTGCCGATCGACCGAGGTTTTCACACTTCTCAGCACTCTTCATCATCCTCTACCCGCCACCTAGTCGCATGTGCTCACGCGCTAACCGTTGACACTGGCACTCTTTGGCATACCAATACCCACCGCAGCTGTTGCACCAGCGTCAACAGGCAGTACCGCACCTGTCATCCATCTCGCATGGTCTGAAGCGAGGAATGTTACGGCGCAGGCTGCATCCCATCCGTTGCCCTCTGTGCCGAGTAAGCTCCTCTTCTTCCGAGCTTCGCGAGCTTCTTCGCTCATACCGCCTGCATACATCATGGGTGTGTAAAGCATCTACCTAGTGTCAGTCCGCTGTCGTACGGTAGTCATAGGGTTCATACGCCAGGACAAACACAATTTACCCTGATGCCATCAGGTGCATGATGCGCAGCCATTGCCCTCGTCATGTTTACCACTGCACCTTTGCTGGTCGGATACAACAGGTGTGGTGTTCCTCCTTTGAGCCCGGCGACTGAGCCCATGTTGATGATGCTGCCTTTCATTTCGCCATCATTTCGTTGCATAGCCGGTATGCAGTACTTCGCCATCTGTACCATGCTGGTCACATTGATCTCAAGTCCCTTCGCCCAAGTTTCCATGTCAACATCGACCGCGGTTCCTGTTGCACCAGCGATCCCGACGTTATTGACCAGAATATCCAGCTTCCCAAACTCTTCCAGTGCTTTAGTCACTGCTGCTTCGCAATCGCCAGCTTTGGTGACATCTGCCTCCATTGCGATAGCTCTTCCCCGGTGTGGTTTCGACGCTGCCATCTCTGCGGTCTTCTCCGCCCAAGGCATCTTCAGGTCCAAACACAGGACATGGCAACCCTCATCGGCAAGCATGATCGATATCGCACGCCCATTACCAATGCCGTCACCGTCGCATCCTGCCCCAGTCACGATCGCGACTTTGTCTTTGAGACCGCGTGGGGGAGGTTCTGATGGAACTGCCGCCATTATGTCGGTTTAGCTCAGGCGGGGATATGACGTTATCTCCAGGAAAGTGTCGCAGATGCCGTCCAAGGTCGTTATCTGCAAGAAACAACCTCTAGGTCAAAGATGTCGTGGCCAATGCACAATCTTATCACCGTGAACTAACAACGTTGAGAACTTACAACAGCCAATAGTGGTGTTGGTGGCATGTAGGTGTCAACCTCGGTACATGCGGGGTGACGCTAACAACACGGCGCATATGTCGCAGCTACCTAGGTAGACGTGACGCGTTCATGCGAGGCTCGTACGAAGTCAAATCACTTATTGACATCGTCTCGCTGGAGCATACCCTCTCAACCTCATCACTCTTCTCACATCGAAAATGGCTTTGGATTTCTCGCAGTATGGTGGGCCCTCCGAGGAGTGGCTGGCAGTGGAAAAGACATTGCCCGCGCGAACATACGACGTTACAATGGATCCGCATGTGCTCAAAGAAGCTGTCAATGCCGAAAGAGAAAGCCGAGCCGCAGAGGTGATGCCGCTGTTAGCACCACATGTTCAGGTCAAAGACTATACCATCCCAACTCGCGATGGCTCAACTATCGAAGCTAGATCGTATAGGTCGGTCAAGACAGACGCGTCAGAAAGGCTTCCCGTGTACCTCTACTTCCATGGCGGAGGCTTCATATTTGGTAATGTCGTTTCGTGTGTAGAGTGCAAGATGATATAACTAATGATTACATAGGCACACTCAGCAGCGAGGATCCTCTATGTGCGCAAACTGCCATTAAGACAGGGGCGATAGTGCTGAACGTCAATTATCGCCATACGCCAGAACACACCTTCCCAACCGCTTGGTACGATTCTCAAGATGCATTCGCCTGGCTGCACAAGAACATAGACGAAATTGGGGGAGATCCATCCAAAGTCGTCACGGGTGGCATTTCAGCAGGTGGCACATTAGCAGCATCCCTCACACTCGAGCAACATCTTGGAAAAAGCGAGGTGATTGCAGGTCTGCCCACTCTAGCCGGACAGATCTTGATCATCCCCATGGTTGCCCATCCAGCCACATACGACCAAGGGCCTGGCAAGCTGCTCAAAACCTCGTCTTATGTCGAGAATGAAAACGCACCAATATTGCCGAAGAAGATTGTCGACTTCTTCACAAAGCTTCTGGATACTGCTAAGGCTGCTTCACCAGATTTGAAAGACACCAAGTTCAACATGGTCAACGCGACAGCAGAGGAGGTCAAAGGTTTGCCTCCTACAGTGTTTGGTATCGCGGGCTTGGACCCGCTGCGCGACGAGGCTTTGCTTTATGCGAAGCTACTTTCAGAGGCAAACGTGCCGACAGACATTACAGTATTCAAGGGCGTTCCGCATGGTCATAGGCGATTTGGCAAGGCACTGAAGGCATCTGAACACTGGGATGAGTGTGTCGATGGAGGCATACTCTGGGTACTTTCTAAGCCGAAGGCTACTGGGAACTTTGACGTGAAATTACCGTAGTTCTCATCAGATGACGACCCGAATTGCGGTAGCCGATTGTAGATAGTTTCGTGTCGCATTGGTGGCGTGTACCGTTAGAAAGACATCCAATCGATTCGCGTCGCTTAGATTGCCGATGCATGATCAGGCGTCCTTCGCGTTTACCGAGTTCCAGCTGTAATTTTTGTAACGAGAAGCACACGCACATGCGTCCACAATCTACGGTATTGTTTAGCACTCTCTTCTCGTGACAGACCCCTCCGTGCATTGCATTAGAATTTCGTTCAGGAGGGACTGCGCTCAAGATATGTGAAGGGGGGGTCAAAGGTGCGCTGAAGGCTGAGCTCAAGGTGCAGTCCAGGCTGCAATGCCAGCTCACTGTGGGGGAAGCGCATAGCCACACTGCGCTCACATTTCAGCCTGGGGTGTGCAACTAACTCGCATCTTCGTCATCTCTGGTTCACTCTTGTGTTTCTATCTCTCATATGGCAATCACTTTCGGCTCGTTTGGCGATATAATCGCTGCAGTGCAGATCGTGTACAAACTAATTGAAGTGCTTAATTCCCAAAGAGGTGCCAAACGCGAATTTGGGGATTTTCTGGTGGACTTGAGACTTTTCCATCGCTATCTCGAACAGGTAAGATCCCCAAAGCCCATATTGGTTATCATTTCAGGTCCAACAGAATGCAGCTTCTCACGTTTTGGCAAACACGCCAAGAAGATCCTAGTCTCGAAGGTCTCTTCAATGTTTTGCAGCCATCCATTTCCGATACCAAAGGAGAGATAAGCTCATTTCTGAAGCGTATTATATCTCGATACGGAAAGAGTCTTCTCTCCAACTTGAAACCTAATTCTAAAGATGTGGGAAAGATGCTGCAATGGCATATGCTGGAACGCGACAACGTTGCGCGATTGCAAGACAAGCTTCGGAAGAGCAAGGAAATCATATTGATGGTTCAAAGTCAAGCCAATATGTACGTCTTGCTCCCTCCATCAGCTCTGGAGTGTGGGCAGATAAGATCTAACATAAAATTCCTCAAAGGATCTTAGAGGAGAAAGACCAGTCCATTTTGATTGAGAGAATGAACGCTCTAGCAGACGCTGAAACTGAGACTGCAAGACAGCTCAATGAACGTCTCGAAGATTTTGGAGGAAAGCTTGAGAAGCAGGGCGAGGCGCTCGGCCTAATCTCTCGTAGCATTGGAAGCATTAGCTCAACTATGTAAGTCAAGCTCGCAAAGACCAAATTATTTCTGACAACTTCTTCTGACAGCGCTCCAATCGCAAATCTTGTTGCAGACCTTCCAGGCATGCTGGCAAAGATACATGCCGAGCAGCTGTCTCAAAGACTTCTATTCTTCAGTCTAAATCCATTTGCCCAGAACTCTGCTATTGTAGAAGATGCTCTTGGTTGGAAATTCACGATACCTTTAGAGCTAATCAGTTCTTGGAATGTGAGTACAAGAAGAACATGACGTACATATCTCAATCTAACAACACACAGACACTTCACTCTATCCTCATCGATAGATTTTCGAATCAACCGGGTTACGACCTCGTCAGGCACCACCGCTATGCGATACGAGACGACGTCAGCGGATTGGACATCCGCCAGAATAAACCTCTCACCTATGTGATCCGTCCTGGTCAAAAAGTCAACATGTGCATGATCTACTTCAGCGGTGACAAGGACACGATGACGTGCCCTAGATGCAAGAAGTCGACTCTCCGCGCAAACAACCTAGCTTTCACATGGTGAGTGCTCTGATGGAGATTCCCTCATTCTACGGAGTAGTTCGTACTAAGGTTATATTCAGCTCAGATCCAAGATGTGATATGGAAATACAGCGCCTCGAAGAAGTACATGATGATACTACAGCTCTCAATGGCAAAATGGACGGCAGCGCTACACGAACCAATCTCAGAAAAGATGGCATCAGCACCCATCTTGATCATGAGGATGGATATCCAGCTGATCTAGTTTCCAAGTTCGACACAGAAGAAGGCCCAGAGGTCTTCAAACGAGTGCGATTTCTCTCTCGCTGGGAATTTCGACGTGAATCACGAGGATGTTTGTTTTCCAAAATCGGACATTACAATTGGTGGCTAGCGGATTGTCCCGAAGCCCTGGCAATGAACGTAACCCTTGGTAATGCGTTCAGAGAAAGTTCGGACGTCCCTTTATGGTTTCGTCCGGGGGCTGGCTTTGCGGAAATCATTGTCCTCTTCGGCGTATTCTTTGTTGGGTTGACATTGCAACAGTCGAGACCGGTGTTGGTCATGTTCTCCATGACGAAGAAGGCACGGAGGGAAGCCTGGAAATTCTGCACAGGAATCGACTGGATTAGAGCAAACCCCTCGCTCATCCTTCTCACAAGCTGGCATAGCATCTTCCATCCTGTCATTAGGTTGGCTTGTAAGAGACTATATGGCACACGCTTTTTAGAGGATAGCTGGAAGACAAGCGAAGATTGCGCTAAATTAGTATAAACTCACAAGGTTACTCTAGCGTAGAGATCTGCATCACTACTAGTCCGACCTGGAGGCGATCCGGGAACTACCCCAAAACACAAGCGTTCTTGACCGCTGCCAACAAACTCCAATACGCCCTTCACGTATCCTTCACGATTATCTCCCATCAGTCAGCAGGGGAGATTTCGATAGCCGAATGGGATGATTGTATAGTGGTTGGGAAAAGCAATCTAGTCATTATAAACTCGACACAGTGTTTCCAGATCTTATCAGATCTACTGAGCAGCTGCAGTGCTGCATTGTTCTTGTCATCTTCAAGATGCGCAAGCATTATCCTATCCGAACATCCCGTGGCGTCCAGTTCATCAGTGTGTCTGGGATGAACTTCTTTTCAAAGGATTGGTAGTGAACCATTGAATGGAATGCGACTTCGAAAAAGATTGAGTCGACGCGCTCGAAGTACGAAAAGCCTTCCGGTTGGTACAACACCAGGATATGTATATCGTCATCCCATTGATATGGGATCAACAGCGTGACTTTGAGCGAAAAATTGGCTTTCTGCTTTGGAGGATATGCAGTTCGTATCCGTTGAACAAGTTCACCATTTAGTCCAGGACAAATAGTTTTGATCTGCTCAATAGCACGACCTTCACCATCACCTGTGACGCAGCCGCTCTCCGATATATGTACGTCAAAAGCGGGTCCATGTAAGTGAAGGAATACGGGCGTTGATCCCAAATTCTCTCGATCGTGTATCCTGCTCTTATCTTCACTCCATGAGAGCACAGTTCCGTCGGAATATTCCATGTTGACACGCGCGACTGTCCTATGACCAGGAGATTCAAGGGAGCGTGGTAGTTTAGAGCGGAAGTTAACTCCACGCATGTTCCATCCTAGCCATGTCCAGCTTGGGAACTTCGTGCGCCGCGCCATGATAGGGTCATCTTCTGAGACATGTTTAGCATCCCAGGATAGACCCAGCACAAAGTGGTCAGATTCACTCGAGAGCGGCTCATTGTAGATCATTGGGATCCCGCAGAGAAACTGAATCTTTCCCGGAAATTTCCGTTCAAATGCAGCTAAGACACCCTTGATGGCATCTTGAATGTCGTTCTCGTTTGTAAGAGACCTTGTCAAGTATTCGTTGATACGTTCTTCGAGATCGTACGGGCTTTTCCCGAGTCCTCGAAGAGGGAAGACTCGGGAGACATCGATGCCATCCCGCATTCGAACATTCTTATGTGTATGCAAAGTCTCCAATGGTCCGTGTACGCTCTCTAGGCAATGCATGGCATTACATTGGAAATACACCTGAGTAGTCGTGAACACAAGTCTCCGTCGGGCGAGCAGCCCTTCTTGATAAGTCCAGCCTCGACTATTCCACTTCGAAGATAATATCTCCTCCTTCACGAATGGCGCATACACGAGAGTTCTGTTACCGATTTCTACTGTCGGTTGGCGTTCCCTTAGCACTGCACCAACTCCAGGTAACCCGTAATCAGGGTCAATGCCCGCCGCTGCAACCACCGTGAGTACGGATTGCTGGTAGATAATATCCATACTCTGTATTTGTGTTTGCCTGCTCATGTTGTCTTCCTGAACAATACAGTAACGGTCTATCCAAAGATAACGATAACCGAGTTTTGTCGTCAAAAGAAGGGTGTCTTCGATCGTGCGAGGTACACATTCTGGAATCACACCCTTTTGGAATATGACATCTTGATCTGGCCTACCCCAGACATAGCTAAGGGTTACATATTGCTTGTGGCCGGTAATGTGCTTCCAGAGAATGATCTTGCGCGTTGTGCAATCGATGACATGGAATTCTGCGGGAACTTGCAGATCGAACTTCTGGTTGCACAAAGCCCTGTGATTATTGTTACAGAAGTTCAGCCATCCTTTCATCATGGCAAGGTCAACTTCAGGTTGTATCTGATGACCACGGAAACTCTCTTGTGTTTCAGAGATGTCCATAATCATGCCATGAGGATTCTTCCTTGCATCGACTGAACGCAGGGCGGGAGCAACTCTGAAGCCAGGTGAATTATCGAACTGAAGCTTCCAAGCACCGAGTTCGTCCTTTGCTGGAAGGATGTAAAGATAGTAGCATGGGTGAGGAGAGGTGTTATCCGGTACTGGTTCTCTCACACTATAGAAGAACCGGCACAAAGTGCAACTGCTTTGGGACTTTATGTGAGACAGGTCATGCCGCATAAGACCCCAGATATAGTAGAGCTTTGGATGTCTCATATCTTGGTTGAAGATCTTTTGAAAATCCATTTTCCGACATTTCCGACAGGTAGAGTGAGCGCTACGCGCAGATTCTGCCGAGACCTGGATGCGATTCTCCTCAGAGTTCGAAGGTTCGATCCGTCGATGCTTCTTGGTCGGCAGGTTCGCATCGTGGCTTTGACGCTTCAACAAGCCACGCATAGATGTGTTTTGCAAACGTTTGTTTCTTTCTAGCGCTCGGGTAGCCTCTTGGTGGGGTGCAGAAGCCACACTCGAGGCCTGCGAAGTGGATGGCGCTCTGTCTTGCACTGAGATAACTGATGGAACCTTCGGCATCATTGATCTCCCTGCTTTTCTGTGGGTTTTCTTAGGGGAAACGATGGATCCGTTTAAAACATATGAGGTGCGAGAAGTTGTTCGGCTGGCTCGAGTGATTAGAAGCAGAAGAGTCCAGAGTTACGAAGTTTGAGGCATATTGCTGCCTGCTGCGCAGGCAAATCCAGCTCAGCCTCAGCCCCAGTAGGGTGCGAAGCAATGTGGCTTGAGCTGTAATGCATCATGCCAGTTCATGCGGAACAGTGGTCCTTGCGCAGCGCGTATATTGTAGACCCGAGTCCTCTGTAACCATCCCAGAATTGTTGATCGATTACATGCTCATCCATGTCAATATGAGGTCCTCAAAACGGTATTCTGGTGATCAGCATCATGTTGGCATAGAAGACTGGTTTTTGGGGGTAGGGTGATTCACTTTATTGCGTGTCGATCTATACCAGGATACAGAAACCCTGTCTCTCGATGAAACACACTTATTCCGCCAGGCGGAAACGACACTTACAACTCGCTCTTGGTCTCGAACTTGATTGTTTTCAGGCTTTCTCCCACTCCAGTCGTTGGAGCGCTAGTAGAGAAAAGTGTAAAAGGCGCGATTACTAGCTCATCTCAATACTTTTTAACAAACTCCAATACGCCTTTCACGAAACCCTCAGGGTTCTCTTCAGCGATATAATGCGCACTATCCCCAACAGTTAACATCTCTGCACCTTGATGATACTCCTCCGCCATGCTTGCCGCAGACTGTGCCAGCATGAACTCTCTTCCATTCATAAGCAATGAAGGTACAGCGACCTTCCCATGTTCAGCCACCCAACTTCTGTTCTCCTCTGCGTCCTTCTCAAAAGAGCGATAAACCTCAAGACCGGCTCTGATAGCACCAGGTTGCGAGTAGGCAAGCGCATAATGTTCCAGGTCAGCAGGTGAGATAGCTGCGCTATTGTACGAGATCTTGTCGAAGAAGTGCTTGAGATATTCTCGCTCTTTCCCAGCAATCAGAAATTCTGGTAGGTCAGGTACTCGATGGAAGACGAAATGGAAGACGTCGGGAGTGCCTTTGACGTTCTCGTAGCATGATGTACCGGGCAGTGGACATTCACCCCAAATGATGCTTCTCACGTCGTTGGGGTAGCGCGATACGTAGGCAAATGCGATCATGCCACCAATGTCGTGGCCTACGACGTGGATTTTCTCCTTGATGCCAAAGTGGGATTGGATCAATATGTGTAAGTCCTCCGCCATCTGCGTCTTTTGGTAACCGGTTAAGGGCTTTGAGGATTGCCCGGCGCCTCGGTAGTCGGGCGCAATAACCCGGTAGCCGGCATCTGCTAGAGGCGTGATGACATGGCGGAACTGATACGAGGTTTGAGGGAAGCCATGAATGAGCAATATGACACCCTTCTCTTCAGTCTTAGATACCGCTTGACACTCGATGTAGTTCAAACGTATCTCCTCGCCGGAAGTTGTAGTGATTGAAGCGATTCGTTGACAACAACGTGAGGTATCAATCGCTGAAGGCTGCAGGGTAGACATGATATGTGAAACTGCTTAGAATGAAGAGGGCGTTGAGAGATATGGAGATATCGACAAGGCATGTTTATACACTTGGGTATACCCGGTGGTGGAAATCCATCCTTGGATTTGTAAGACATGACGCTCTTGCAGCGTCATACCAAGATGCGAGATACATGGCTTGAAGCTGGGATCAGGTAGCTATCCTTGGACCACGACCTGAGAGACTATTGTTACGAGAGGGTGAAATTCTACTCGAGAACTGCAGTGGCTTATATCGTAGCGGTAGCTTTACTCAGATCCAAAGCGTTCTTCTTGCGTGGTACACGCCATTCCGTTTTTGGTATGGTATCTCCGGTCTGGTCGAAGTCGTAGACGAATTGATACATTGCTCAAAGACATCTGGCGCTATCATCAGTTCTGCACATTCGAGACTCATCGCACCAAGATGTATGGTAATCGGTAAATTCTTCCTTTGATCCTGGCTTTCCGATGTAGGCTCCTACCTAGGTGCTAAGCCATTAGGCCACGACACTTAACCTCCATCCTTTGCAGCGACAGCAATTGACAATTCGTTCGCTATCCTGTTCAACTACATTCACAAGGCATGCCTAGGCTGGGTAGATGAGATTTGTCCGCTCACGTCTCAGAAGCCATGAGTCAGTCCGAGGATCTCCCTTCCATGATATCCAGGTAGGCTGCGACCGGCATGACAACAAGACGCGGGAGAGATCGGGAGCTGGATAGAACGGCGCGAAGCATTGAACCGTTATGAGAGAAGGAATGAAGGACGGGGATCAATGGAAGATCTGAAGATGCGCCTGCCACACGCTAGGGGTGTTGCCCCACTTTTTGGCGACATGCCTGAGATGCGCCTAAGGACCCTGCCGAAGTGACCAATCAAATCATGCTCGTCCTGGTGCCACTGTGCCGGGAGACGTGGAGCTGCCGTAGAGTCTGTCGCATGTCGTTCTTCCATCAACGCCAATTGTATCAGTTCAGTAAGATGGCGAAATTCACCCCCGCGATGTCGCGACCCTACCGAGATGCGAAAACTACACGGCGCTTAATCAGAGGACAGCATGACGATATATAAGGTCAGAGGCTGTAATCGTACATTCCATAATACCCCCCATCATAACTACCATACGTTTTACTAGCCCCATTACCGACGATGCCGACCCACGGAGAAAGAAACCTGGAACTCGGGAATCAGGCGTATGCTGCCTCTTTCGACCAAGGCCATCTAGCACTTCCACCTAGCCAGAGATACACTATCGGTAGGCACAAACCAACGGTCTCTATCGTCATGTACTGACTTGATGCGACAGTAACGTGCATGGACGCTCGCATCGATCCCACCGCTGCATTTGGTATACCTCTTGGAGCCGCCCACGTAATACGCAACGCCGGCGGTTGTGTAAAGGATGCCTTCCGATCGATCGTCATATCGCAACAACTTCTTGGAACAAGAGAGGTGATACTTGTCAAGCATACGGGATGCGGTATGCTCACATTCGACAACGATATTGCGAGAGCCACGGTCATGAAGAAGAGAGGAGAAGTGGCTGCGAGAGAGGTGGAGACACTTGACTTTCACGCTTTCCGTGATCTAGAGATACAGGTCAAGAAGGACATACAATGGCTTCGGATCAAAGCGATTGAGGAGAACATCAGGTTCAGCGGCTGGATCTATGACGTGGAGACAGGGAAGACAACTCGGATTGTGTGAACTGGCTGCTTGGTCGTTCATTGAGTTTTGCAAATTATACCCAGGATAATGTAACAACATCTTATGAGCTTTCCCAGCAGACGTGCGCAACCGCTCTGTGTTCTTCGAGGTTTGGAGATAATTAATTTGGAGCTGCTCTAACAGCTCGCCCATTTCCTATTGGGGGCTAGCTTCCCCGCGGGCTAAACTCCCCGCAGCCTGACGCGTCGCGAACTCCAGTGACGTGTCGTAGTTTCCAAAGTTTACTCTTACACGCGACGACAACCTTCAATCTCCCCCGCCTGCACTCTCCGGCGTCCGCTCTTCGTGAAAAAGCATTGCATCTTTGTATGGCGGCCAAGACTGCGTCGCTTGGCGGGCTACCAGACGAGCTGGTACTGGAAATTCTGAATCATTTCCATACCATTCGCTCATATGAGACGCAATCCACAGCCTTCAAAGATCAAGAAAAGGAGAGAACACGCCAATCCGAAAATCGCATACTCAGACGATCGCTACGCAATCTCTGTCTAACGTCCCGTCATGTTAGCCGAATAGCCACCCCAATTCTGTACGCATCGTTCACGGGAGCTGTTACTCGACACGGTCTTACGCCTCTCAACCTGTTCCACGAAAGGACGTCGGCCTCTCATGTTCCAGGTCGCAAATGCATAGAGTATCTGCAGTATGTAGAAGTCCGACTCGAAGATGATCAAGGCAACAGTCTTCACGCCGATACTCTTGAGCCGGATGCCGTTTACCAGGCAGCATATTACTTTCGGTTACTAGCACATATTATAAGCTGCGCGCCAAACTTACAACATCTTTCTCTCGTCGTCCTCGAGACTGACAATGTTTCCTTTTGGAAACACATTATAACGGAAGAAGATGCAACGGCTGCGCCCACACAAACGACAGCGACAAGACAGGACTTCCATAAGCTGCGATTTCTGTGTATTCAGATGCATACAGACGTTTCCAACAACCATGGTTCTGGATCGTTCGACCAGATCTGCTCCGTTATGTCGAGGGCTCCCTTGCTTTCTGACTTCCTAGCTCATGGTGTGGCGACATTCGCGCTGCCAGCACAGCCGCTCGAGCTTAGCATCTTCAGTATGCTCAAACGTCTAGAGATCACCGAGTGCATGCTCGAGATAGAGGAGGTCGCCAAGATTTTATCGACCTGTAACGAGCTACAGCATGTTGTTTGCACATGGGCTTATCTCGATGACACGACCGGAACACTTCCAGATCTCTTCATCGCTCTTCTGCGTCACACTGAAACTTTGGAAAGCTTACGTCTCGACTTGCGTCAAGTCAGAACCGACGAAGATTTGGATGAGTCTCAATGCTTTGGTAGCTTTCTGCCGTTTAAAACTCTTAAGACATTGGCTGTATCGGACTATTGTCTTCCTGCGTTCTCTAATCTAATTCATGAAGAGAAAACACCCTGTTACGACAAGACGGTGCCTCCACCTTCAATGGCTGAGCTGCTACCACCGAGTTTGACAAGCTTCACAATGCTAACCGGGGAATCCGACGAATTTTCAGGTGAAAGCACAGATCTTTCGCCCGACCTATGGGTTTGGGTCAAGAAGTATGCTTCGTCAGGCCTAAACCTGAAACACTTCATCGTTGAAAGCCACGACTTCGAGATAGAGAACCCTAGTATAACGAAGGCCTTTTTGGACTTGGGTGTGCAATTTGAGGTTAAGGACATATATGGATACGACTAGACGGGTTTGAAGATGGCAAACGGTTGAAGGGCCGGAAGATTGTAACGACGTCCGCCTCTGAGAGCTGCGACATGTACACTGAATGAGGGAACAAACACGACCGACTCAAACGCACGTATCACGCTGTTATTCTATGCTTAATCGGAGAGGCGGTGTTGGTAACGCTGGGCGGTACAGATGCGGGCAACCTATAGCAAGGTTTACGTGAAGATTTACCTCAATCGCACTGCCGTCGACCCGACGACAAGATCCCACCTTTACTTCAGTAGTGACCATTGCGTCCAGGGACTTTCTCACGTGCCAGTGCCCCTCACTAGTTCCTGCACGTCCATATAAGCCTTCTTTCCTATTTCTCCAGGCTTTCTTTTCTCCTCGCTACCTGGTCAGCCTCCACCCGCTTGGGAAGCAATTGATCTTCGATACAGATCTGACAGCCGCAGCAGCAGCAGCATCAAGAGTTGTTAACATGGCCATTCCGAGCGACCAAGCCGCTCCCTTGGACGTCACTGCATTGTCTGACGAGAAGACAGCTGCCGCGAATATAGGGTCTCCCAAGAGAGAGCCTTCGAGTCAGGACGGCGTCCCGGTATCCGATTCTGTGCTTGACGTACCCGGAGGTTCTGTGCCCAAGTCCGAGAGGTCTGGAGAGGCCAAAGAGCTGGAGCGCGTCCAGGATTCAGCAGACATTGCGAAAGCCACTCTGAGCTCTGCCTTCTCATCACCCAAGCTCGTCGCGAATGACTGCGAGAGCATTGTCTCTTTTGGTGAAGGCCATGTTGTGAAGGACATGCATAGCAAATCAGCTGTAGCGAGCCCTGTTCCTATACAAGACCAGGAAGAGCGGTCTAGTGGAAAGGCAAAGTTAAAGCATGGTACGTCTCGTTTCTATCACGGAAAGCACTGACTGATCTGAGAAGAAGCGTCTCCAGTCGCCAAGAAGGAATCACTCATGACATCTGCCCCGCAAGCTCGGCGCGAGATCGTCGAGGTCGATACCGAGACTGACACAGACACGACTATCGACGCACCGAAGTCCTTCAAGCCGGCCCACAGTCTACCTCCTCACATGCGACCCGAGTTTCAACCACCACCAGCGCGCCAATTCGGTCTTAATGACTCAAGGGTATGCTCTCATTGAGACCTTCAGATACATTTATGACTGACACGTCTAGCACATGGTACCACCAAACGATGTCGCCCGATACAACGAAGGCCCTCGAGCATCTCGCTCCCACTATATGTCATATCAACCTAGAGGCGACCACGTGGATCGAGAGCAGTTTGCCCGTGTCAGCGCCCAGTTAACGAAGATCAAGCATGAACTTGATGTTGAGCGCAATAAGAACTGGCGACTTCGGACAACCATCGAGGCCGAGCAGCAGCAGAAGGTTGAAGCCGCGTCTTCGAAGATGCTTACCAACCTCCTGCGAGAGCAAGCTGAAGCTCTCACGCTCAAAGCCAAGGTCGAAGCTAGGGAGCGTGAACTTGACCTTCGGGAGCAAAGGATCTCACAGCAGGAAGTTTACCTTTCCGAAGGCCAGAAGCAGCTCTGGTTTTCTCTCGAAGCAAATGGCGTTCGCCCTATAAGTGCAGTGGATATACAGCACGCCCGGCAAGAAGCCGAGCTGAACGCTCAAAAGGCCATGGCTGACCTCAACGGAAAGCTTAACATCAAGATCGAAGGTCTACGTCTTCGTGAAGCAGCACAGCAGATGCGCGAACAGCAGTACAAGGCTATAATTCGCGATTCGCTCAAGGACGAACTCGAGAACTCGCTGACCGATGAGAAGGCTGAAGAGATTGCTGCAATTGAGTACAATAACGGATATGGTGCAGGAAAAGAGATCGGTAGCAAAGAAGCACAAGAAAAGTCTCGCCAGCGAGGTTTCTTAGAGGGCTATGGCGCCTGTCACCGTACTCAAATCACCCTGAGCAAGTGTCGCCAGGGTCTGATCGATCGTGACAGCCCCGAGCTGAACTTCCTCTACGACGCCAACCACCCACACAACCTCTGGAACATTGGCGAGCTGGTCGGTCGCCTGGAGCATGAAGACAACCCCGAGAAGATGAAGAACGTGTCAAAGAGGGAGTCTGCGGTCGAGAAGCCAGTCATCAACACCAAGACTGCCAATGTCGCTGATGAGCCCCGCGATATGAATGGCAAGGTCAACGGGTATACCAATGATACCATGATTCACAAGCGAGAGGAGACAAGTAGCAGGTAAATCACCCATCACTCTATCTTTCACTTACGCTTACACTCTGCAGAATGCCATTCGCGCGTCCCACCTTCGCCGCCGAGCTTCGCGGTCCCTCTGCTACACACAACGGCCACATCATTCTCGCTAACAACGTCGCTTCACCAGCCGCCAAGAAGACTGAACAACTCATCATCAAGGGTGAGGAGCCTGTCGTGAATTTGATTGACTTCGTGTAAGTCGGTCGATGGAAGGGCCGGGGCGTGGACGAGGAGTATTGGGATGGCTGGACGGAAGGGTCGTGGCATGAGGTTTGAGGGCGACAAGAGGCGCGTAGGTAACAATGGTTGTGTCCAAAGTTCAACAGGATGGCTACATTGCTCTGGCTACTCTACCGTCGCGTTGCGTATGCTACTTGGATACCTCTAAGCCCCTGCATAGCCTCAACCCCAGCATGCCGCCCGATCGGGTTAGAGTCCGCTTTGTGGATGGCGGGCGGGCAAGGACTAAAGCTTGTGTGTGAAATGAGCTACATGATTGAGTTGGCACCATTTAGGTACTGACTATATGGGACGAGAAGCTATATGCATATCAAGTTTCTAAAATATCCACATGCCAGGTTTGATGCATAAACCTTTCGTCTCATTATGAGCATTCTAAAAGTAGATTCTGACATCTACATTACTTTTCTCCATCTCTATCTTCCGGTCTAGAACATGTTGAATAACCCCCCTCGCCAGCCCAAAACCACACTTTTATGACCATCTAATATACCTCAATCCTGCATAACGCTCCACCCCTCGCCGCCTCTCTTTCCGCCAAGTCCTCTTCCACCCCTTACAACCGGCCCATGACCCCTCTCACCCAACATAGGTTTCCTCAGCACAGGGCCATTCGGTCCCTGACCAAACGCGTCAGCCTGCTCTTGAGCCTCCTCTGTCAACTTCGGTTCGTTTGCACCACCACCACCACCACCCTCCTTTGCCTCTCCCTCCTTGTTAGCAGGCCACTTCTTCGCAAAGTCCTGCGCCCCACCCCCAATAGCCCTCATCTCCTCGTTCTCCTGGCCATCTTCTCTTGCAGCATACTTCCCAACGATATCCAACAACTCCTTCTCTCCCTGCTTCTCACGCTCGCTAGACCAGTTTGCATACTCGTCCCACCACCAGCGATGCGTCTCTCCGTCTTTTCCTAGGTACCCTGCCGTACCATCTTCCTTGACACGCGCAGCCCACGGCTTATCCACAATGTAATGCAGCACAGCGACCTGGTCGTCGACCCAGATATTAGTGTGCCAATATCTCCACGTCTTCAACGCATTTGTTTTCCAGGACAAAGTACTCCAGCGGCCATCGAAAGCCTCGTTTAAGAAATCCTGATCAGGGAACTTCATAGCGCGGAGTCTAGTGTTGCCAATGTCCTGAAACTTCTGGAGAACAAACTCAGCTAGAGCTTTGCTAGGGCGATAGAGAAAAGTCCCCGAGTTGAAGTTGGACAGCGTGTACGGTTCTGGTCGCACTTGAGCGAGTTGATCCGGGGCTGTAAGTTTAGCCATGGCGCAATTCTCCGGGTTCCATTCAGCGGGCGCCCAGGAGTCGTGATCGAGGTTGCAGACACAGGTGTGTACGGCCATTGTTCGCATTCCGTCGCCGCCTTGCAGGTAGGCGTCGTTTTGCTTGTTGAAGATTAGGGGCGAGGGGTTGGAGAAGATCATCATGTCGGCGTCTAGCCAGCAGATTCGTTCAAACTTCTGGGGCATGTCCCAAAGGTCGAAGACGCGCAGTTTGGTCCATGTGTCGATGAAGCGCTCGGCGACCATGCCGGATTCTGTTCCATCTTCGGGAAGGCGGAGGTGTTCTACGGGGTGGAGGACGATGTTGGAATGTTTGGCTTCGGCTTTGAAAGCGTTGACTGAGGCCTCTGGGAGTGTTTCCGGCGTGTAGGTTATGATGAGGGGTGTGTTTGGTGAATGCTTGTTGAGTGTGTAGGCTAGGAGGATTGCGCCAGCGAGATAACTGGGTCGAGTGAGGAGTGTTACATATGCATCTTTTCCCTGTTGGTCCGCCATTATGAGTACCGATGGGCTCCTGGACCGTTATTGCTCTCTGATGTTTTCAGTTTGAGAGATATAATGACAGGGATATCGAGAGGTACATGCAGTCGCAGAGGTCTACACGAGTCCCACCAAAGCAAGAACGCGCTGACGTCACGACTTACGTTCCGAGGCCGGAATGCACAACTCTTGTGATCGGAACCTACTGAGGACGTACACATTTTGGAGAGGGAATGTACTGTGTAAATTGTCGTAGTAGGTTTCACAAAGATATATAGTGTTACAAGTTCAAATTACGGGTATCTCAAGAATCCTACTACGACAACAGCCATTTCACTACTCAAACTTATCATACAATGTCCTCAAATCTTCTTCCCATCCTCTTTCGCTAACGCCTTTCCCCAAGCGCTCTCGAATGGGTCATCCGACTTAGGAGCATCTACCTGCTGTACATCTTGTAAAGCTGCAACTTCAGGCACCACGCTTGGCTTCGTCAATTGAACAGGAGCGGGACGGTCCAAGGCAGTAGCCTCTGGGCTTTCGTACTCGAAATTGCTAGAGTAGACCACAGCAGCGAATGCCTCCAGACCACCAACAGCTTCGATAGCAGCTAAGTACTCGTTGTTCGCTCCGCTTCCGATACTATGCGCCTGTCTGCAGAACACCGCTAGACTGTTGGCGACCTTAGCCTTGACGTCGTGGCCAACGATCTCCTGCACACGAGCGTTGCTATCAGAGACGGGCGGGATCTTGTATGAGAGTTGCGAGATCTTCACATCGACGAGGTGGGAGAAGGCCGCATCGAGAAGCTGTGTAAGGACATGGGCAAAGGCAGGCGATTCGATGAGGTCGGAGGTTTCGTCGATAAGGCGACGAAGAGAGGCGGTTGTTGTGGGGGATGTCGACTCAGATGATGAGGTCATGCCGGACTCTTGAAGGACGTAGTCTTCCTGGTCTTGCGGTGGAAGTAGGAAAGCAAGCCACTTGCATGTTCTGTGGGGAGTTAGCTGATGTCTTTACGCGTTGGAGTGAACTCATACCTTCGCTCTTCCTCGGTCGCACCTTCGACTCTCTTGCGCACTTCCAGTGTAAGTTCAGACAGCCTCTCCAAGGTCATCTCTTCTCTTGGGTTCACAAGGCCGAAGACGTCCTTGACTGCAACCCTCACTTTCTCAATGAGATCTATGCATCCCTTGTGTAGCAGCCACCAGCTCAAACTAAGGTACCTGCGGTTTGTCTCGAAATCATTGCCGTACGCCTGCTCGAAGTTGTCGTCGTCGTTGTTTTCTAGATTGATTCTTGAGCCTTCAGTGGTCGGCTGCGGTGCGGCCAGGGACACGACGGATGCGAGGTAATTTCGACGGCCGAGGAGGTTCAGTTGAATGCGAGTGAGAAGCGTAAGGAGAGACAGGGTGTAGACGAGGGTGAAGGCTCGCGTTATTGCTGGTCATGTTAGTATCGCAACTCCCAATGCCATGTACGGGGCACATACAGCTAATCTTCATCTCACTCCATAGCTGTGCTTTGCTCTTCTTGGACCTCCTGTCCTCTCGGGGATCTGGACTGCCCTCGGCTGGTCCCGTATTGCTATCGCCCTCTGTAGCGATTTGGCTGGCATGGATGAAGCTGTCCGTCTGCAGACTCGAGCTTCTTGCGTCATCCTCGGGCGTGTCGGCTACACTTGGAGGCGCTGTACTCGCAATCTCGCTGGGCCCGACGCTACGTGACAGGCGCTCTGCCTTTTGTCTCTGTAGCTCTTCCAGCACTTGCTCCACGGGGATGGCATCGAGTATGTTCTCGGTCGCGGTCGGTAGGATGGCGAGGACGGTGAAGGTGCAGTCTTCCTGGTTCTGTTCGAAGCGGCGGCGGAGACTGTAGAGCCGTTAGAACGTGCTCCTTGATAAGAAAGTATGGAGCGCACTTCTCTTTCGCGATGCGATCATCGCTCATGCGCTGCCTCGCCTCCCCGAGCTTGCCCAGCACATACTGCCCCGCCAGATAGCCGGCGCCGAGCACTCCGGCGCCGATTGCGAAGTTTGTGCGGTTGCGCCTGAGCCAGCGACGCGTTCCTTGTATCATGTTGATGGTTGAGAGGGCTATGCAGCCCGCGTACTTGGGGGTGGAGCAGGCGTCAGTCGCGTGTGGGGAATGTCGGAAGACCACCCAAGATAACCCAGGGTCCCGGCTGCTGCTCACGGGCCTGTCAATGCACCGATGCGTGATACAAGGAATCTCTTTGTTCAAATACTCCTGTCGTAGCAATTGTCGTAATAAATGATTAGTCGTGACTGATAAAGCAGGTGCAGGCCTTCAACGTCCAGCGCATGCGAGGTTGGTCTCGGGTTACACCAAGGCTTCGTGATTGGGCCGAGGTCCATTGCCCAAAGGGGAGACCAAGCCCAGCGCCGCTTTCGCTCCGCACATGTTGTCATCGCCTCCAGACGCTAATTCATCTTCCCACTCAAAAGGAGAAGGCCTTCTGGCAGCAGTGTATTATGTATCAAACAGTACTATAATAGCGGCCTTCCCCTCTATCGCAGCTCATCGCATATTGCATCCAATTCGTGATAACAGAAAAGCAACGCGTCTTTCAATGTATTTATTGTATAGACAAGTCGAACATAACTGAAGCCAAAACATCAAGTCGTTACGCGAGTCGTGAGTCGTAATCCTTCAAACGTATAGTGCGTCATTCAAGCGGGCGAGATGTCGCAGTTGGTGTTGTTACTGTTGTCTCGGGCGAATCAGAAAGAGAAGTCGTACTCGTGATCGGAGACGAGGCTTCTGAGCTGGACGACCTAGTTGATGCTGACGACCTGTAGAGGCAATTAGAAGCTGTGCGTGGATTTCAATCTCGCTTTGCAGGCTTGGCCATAACATAGGAGAATGCCAGTCGGAACATATGCTAGGTGTAAGTAGCAAAGAAAGTGAGGAAGACCGGAACAGGATAGCCGGTGACGTTGAGCCAAAACATGAACAGGGCGATTCCCCAGCGAGCATACCGAAGACATGCTAGTAGGACTTGTGTCTACTAGCAATGACGGCAGCATGGCCCAGGGCCAAAGCCTAACAGGGAAAAGCCAGTCGGCAAACAGATGTCTGGCAAAGAGGGACAACGTTGAATGGATAGGAAAGGAGCAAAGGTCGGGCGATACGAACGTCTTGATTGTAGCGATGACTGCTTGCTTTTAGCCATTGAACGTACCCATTAATAACCAATAGACAGGTTCACTACTGCGTAGCAGCGAACCTCCTGAACTCTCCAAGACTCAATTAGGTATGCATGTACATCCCGACTTGATGCCCATAGCTCAATGACAGAAACTTCCGTATCCTTGGGCTATTTTTTGGGCCCTGGTATGCTGTGGTCCGAAAATCCTTCCTTGGATCAGAAGTCCTGGAATCAGTCCTCGCACTGGATATAAGAAATAAAGAAAAGCTTCTTGCATGACAAGAAGCAACGTAAACATGAATAGCAGTGAAGATAGTCAGGATAGCCTATCTCACTGTTCCAGTCCGCGGTGAAAGGTCGTGGCACCCAGTAGTAGTTCACCCTTGGTTAGCTGCAGACATGTAGTCTGTAGATGGGTTCCAAGGTCGTTCATACGAGCCTTGTGAATGCAAGAACGCAGAGGAATCTCCGGGTTGATCCTGAGGGTCTATAAAACCATCATAACTGGACTGAAACGACTGAGGTTCGACGAAGGGGGATTGATCGTTCCATTGGATTTCATGGTTGTTGTATGGAGATCTGGGGTAAAATCCAGTGACATGTGAAGGTACGTACCCCGATATCTCTGACTGATTGCCTTGCTGAATTCCCTGAGTCTCTTGAGCCCAATGCGGGCTGCTTGGTGCTGTGACCGACTGCGACAAGTCTTTTGCGTCCTTGCGAGCTCGAGCCAGATCTTGATCGTTGTGCGTGGCCATTGTAGCCGGCAGCGTTGCCTCGGGTCTTAACACATCGGCTTAGCATTATGATAGCTGATTACTGACATTCAACATCACTACTGACCTTTGCAAGGTAATGTCGTCATCCCGCAAGGTCTTTCCTACAGGCATGAGGGTTGCAATGACGTGAGTGCACTACATCATGTTAATTTTGGTCTGCCACGAACGCGGAACTGTCTCCTACCTTGCCCTTCTGGCGCTTGCACTTATCACAAGCACCGATTTTTCTTGTAGTCTTATAGGCAGATCGTTCTGCGGGTGTCATCTTGCGCTTCTTCTTCGGCTGAACCGCAAGGCCCCCATCCACAATACTGAACACATGTTGCTGACCAGTTGCAATCTTGGTGATGGTAGGAGATTGCTGTGGATGATGCTCCACAAGTGCCGGCGACCTATACGAATTGCTATGTGACAGGGAAGGCGAAAGGCTTCTTTGATGCTTGCACACGTCCAGTTCCTCGGGACCCGGATGGGACGCTTGAAGAAGCATAGCTTCGTTCTGCATCGACTCAAGTTCGCGGTTCAAAAAGTCTATGGCGGCCAAATGCTTCCGCTGGCGCATACTGGTACATTGTGGATATTGGCTTTTCAGAAGTTCGTGTAGAGCATCAGAATCGAGTGGCTGAGTGAAAGCCATGCCTGCCCACGGCGGAGTCTCGTCGCTCGTCGGGTGTATCCGCTTGATGGATCTCATATTAAGAAGCCTACAAAGATCACGGCGGTTAAGTGAGATATATCAGGTCGGATTCAGACAGATATCGCAAGACTCCTAGAATATGATACCCGTGTTTCAGCTATGCCGCGTATCAGTAATGTTTAAGCAGGGGGCGCTTGCAATCATACATAGAGAACACTGTCATTTTTCCTAGCCCAAGTGTGCTACTCCAGAGTCAGCATAATCATATTCATGGGCGAGGCTTTGTGGAGTGGTTCTATGTACAGACCGCAAGCCGTCTTCGCCGTGGTCATGACAGGAATACCCCGCTGATGATCACGAGCGAATCGTCGTGATCTCGGCAGACAGCAATCTAGCCTTTCTAATCCACCATATGTACTTACATGATAAGGTATGGTTCGTTCAGGGACGGTTTGTATTGATGGTGAGCTTGGAGGGGAATCGAGTGTGTAAATAAGTCACCGAGGTCACCAGACGTGTACACTACCAAGCCCCAGGCAACGATAGGATATACGGAAGGAACAGAACTAGCCGCACGGTGTCTCGACACGATCAATCGTAGGTTAGCCGGTAGCAGCGGCGTCCTAAACTGGCCAGACATTCTTTCTACTCCGTAGCAGTTCGGATATAAGCATTGCACCATCATAGCAAGCTTGCAGATGATTCGTGCGGAAGTCGGCATCGTGGATCATGTTCACCGTGTAACTGTAATGGCGTCGACTTGTAGGCGCAGCATCACGGAGGACCATCTCGCTTCTAGAATGAGGCGCAGTCAATTGGCCAACGAGCTTCAGCCTGCTGTCATCTTGGGCACTCTGACTTTGAAATTGGGCAGCGATGCAGACTCTGTGATCAACGCATATAATATCGACTTCTCAGTGGTAGCTGTGCTGCTCGTATAAATGAAGCGTGGTGGGTGTATCGTGATGCGCGTGAATCCCGCGGGAATGTGGTGCAGGCCGGGTACGCGTCATGACGGCGTCAGTTTCTTCTACCCTTTCATGGTAAGACAACGAACACCGCGCGATAGTAGAACGAGGCAGCATTTGTGTAGATGACGAGCGTTAAGTGTATGACAGCTGGTGGCAATGAAGAGGGAACAGTTGAATGGGTCCTGGTGACAACTCCAGTCCGGGGCTGGGCTAGACCAAACCAAGCTAGCGTCAGATCGAGATGAAGTTGCGACCAAGAAACGCGCTCATTGTTCTCCCTCCACCGCCTATCCATAAACCTTATCGTCCAGCCTCTGGAAAGATCTCGGACTAAATGGCCTTACAGGCTGCTTCATGAGCATGAGCGATGTGGTGTAACAATGGGTGGCTATCAAAACGAGACTGATCTTCTTCATGCTGCAATACCATGCCAACGTCGGAAGGGCTAGGCAGTATGCTCATAGAACAGGAGGAAGCATATTCTCGGTATCCTTGATCTTGTGCAAGTAGTGAATCAGAAAAATGGCGCAGCGGATTGGCGCAAAGTAGCAATGTTTGGTACCCCACCCACATCGCTTCCATTATATTATTGAGAACGCATAGGTCACATGCTGCGCAGCTCTTGTATTTTCTTTCGTTGATATAAAACGGTGCATCCGATTTAGGATCAGTCACTTCTCCCACACACGGACTACCAAGATGACCACTGCAGCAAGGATGGATACCTTCAGATTTCTCGACCTACCAAAAGAAATCCGACTAATAGTCTACGAGCAACTCCCCTTCATCAGACGACACTCCACGTTGATTATGCCATATACTCCGGACCACAAAGGCAGTATCGTTCTCGTCCTCCAAGTACTTCCTCTTGCTATCCTGAGAGTGTCCAAGATGATTCACGATGAAGCGTACGCCTTGCTCAAGCCTAAGATGTACGAGCTGCTCTATCGGCCGCCTCGACTTATCATATCAGCACCAGATATTTTTAAGATAGGAGCAGGCTTCGCTAAGTTCCTCCAGATCGCTAGACAACTGCTCCACAAACAGTCTATAGCAACACTGAGCTCTGGTGAGATGGTTTATTACCAACCAGGAATGGTATACTACGCTCAGGGAAACATTCCACTGATCATCACTCCCTCGCTCATCCAGTGGGCACAACACGCTGGTCTCTATCTTGGACAGATGAAGGTCCATCCTATCTTGGCTCGATTTGCAGCAGACAACCCGAATCCACCGATGAGGTCCGCTGGAGTCCAGTTGTTGATCAGCCAACCAGGTATGGGGCCAAAGTTATGTGAGACATGTCTCAAGGATCACATACCGCTAATGCACATACTGAGTCATTTTATGTCTGAAAACCTCAGCATGGCCCGAAAGAAGAACCCCAAGGTGAATATACTCCTTCTAGGTACGACTGTGTGCACTCCAGCTGCTCAGAACGGATTACATTATCACGGGTCAGAAGACTTGCAGGAAGAGCTAAACCGTGCATTGTGGTACTGGGACAAGTGTAGGTTGCAAAAGAATCGAGGACATATTGTTGAGCTAGCGGCTTGGGAAGGAGATTGGCAGGCTACACCTACATTGGGGATGTTGGAAATTTCAAGTGATGAGGAAAAGACGGAGAGTGCGACGTACATCAACTTCGTCCAACAACATGTAGCGTCTGATGGGAAACGAACATCTCGACACGATACACTGCCCTCGTATTAGAGAAGCCGCTTGGGCTAGCATTCAATTTGTGATCATTGAACCCAAATTTATGCGCTTCGTCCTGCGGCCGAAACTCCGCCTACCCTATAACCAAATTTGAGCAAGTCTTGTCCCTCTATCTGTGTCTTCTTTCCTAGCAATTCGTCGATATCCCATGTCGCACCCAGCAATCGGCCGTTCAACCACATCCGCTTCTCGGTGCTTAACCAAACACAAAAAGCGCCTCCGAGACCAATATCGTCTGTGAGATCTAGAAAGTCAGTATCCTTCATTGAGCTCATAGTGAAGATACACTTACAAGGTCGAAAGCTATCTGGCGTAGTCTTGTCTGCCATCTCCGTGTTGACGGCGCCAGGGTGTACAGCAACAGCCAATATACCATCCGCACCGTACTGCTCCGACAGGAACTCGACAAGACGTGCCTGCGCAAATTTCGAGATACAATATGCTGTGTTCGCAATGTGCCCATTTACGATACATGCTCCAAAGGAGTTGATAGCGATGAAGGTTTTAGCACCATCACCTTCCTTCAGTATCGGAATGAAGTGGTGCGCAACAAGGTATGTACCCTGTACGTTGACGTCGAACACATCTTGGAAATCTTGTGGATCTCCTTCCTCGACTTTCAGCACTACCGGTCCTGAGTATCCTGAATTGACAATGACAACGTCCAGCCTTCCAACTTCTTGTTTGACATCCTTCGCAAGCTGCGCAACGCTCGTATTTGATGTGATGTCGACCTCCAAGCTTTTGATGGATACCGACGGATTCAAGTTCTTGGCTTCTTGTGCGACTGTCGCTAGTTCCTGGCTTGAAGATGACCTCGCTGCCAGGAGGAGAGACGCAGCACCTGCTTGCGCGTAGGCATGGGCAATACCGGCTCCTATCCCGCGAGACGCACCAACTATGAGTACGTTGAATGGCTTTGGTAGTTTGTTGGAGGCCGGGTCCAGGGCAGCAGTGGGTTTGCTATGTATCGTCTTTGTGAAGCCGCTGGCGAGCGTAGTATCTCTTATTCTTTGTGACATAGTGATCGGTTCAAACATTCGTGATGGAAACATTTCGACAATTGCTGTGGCCGCCCCCTGATATACTGGCGCGCCTTATGTGCATCCTTCAGGCCGACTCAAAATGACTCATATTGAGCCGCATCCTGAAGGACAAACTCGTTTCGAGCAACGTTTCTTGTACTTCGCCATAGAACAAGCCGTTTCGCCATATTTTTTAGATGTTCTTGGGTGCTCGATATTCCGTCTCTCAGAAACATCGTCAGCACAAACGTGAGGTTCTAAAGCGGAGGCAGGCGTATGACGTGCCACGCTAATCTAGCGCGACTGAAGTGTGGGGTTCACCTTTCACTCATTTGGGAAAATGTCGTCTTCCTCTTCGATACGGGCTTAATCTTCTACCCTACACCCCACGACCGATGATGGTTCTCGTCGCCATAATGTGGTGCTGCAGCTAGCTTGGGTAAGCATTGTCGTATGTAAGCCCTATCCAGACATGCATGAACCCAGCCTATGGGATACGGACGGCCTGCATAACCATTATTCATATGCAGCTAGATGGTAGTGAGCGAGGCCAACGGAACTCTTGACGACTTTGTGATTGGAAGCGTGTACTACCACCAGTGAGAAGTATAAAGTCGAAGCGTCGCGCCATAAACAGAGACTAGCTTTCCATCGAGCAAAGCGTTAGATACTCAACACCTCTAGCATTCCGAGATGACACGCACTCTTATCCTTTTTGGCGCAGGACCTGGCATCGGCGACAATGTCGCCCTTCGATTCGCGTCCAAAGGTATCGAACACATTATTCTTCTTGCGCGCAACACAGAACGCCTTCAGAACGAAGATGCGCCTTTCGTCACCAGGAGCACATTCCCCGTCAAAGTCGACACACTCCGTATCGATCTCGCAGACACAAAATCCATCCCAAGTGTACTCAAGCAGCTTGACAGTATGACCTCAGGCGAAGACGTAGAAGTAGTGTTTTTCAACGCTGCTCGCATAAAGCCAAGTGAAGTACTCGGTGTCAGTGTTGAGGAGATTGACGAGGATTTCAAAGTGCTTAACTCCTTTTTCCAATATCAACAATACCGGGTATGCTAATGGAGATCATAGACGAGCAACCTCGCCCTCTACGTCATAGCACAGCATTATATTCCCAAACTCCAGAGCCTGGCTAAGTCTAATTCTACATCCAAACCTGCGCTTTTCGTCACCAATAGCCATCTGCCTTGGGATCCTATACCGCAGCTGCTTTCGTTAAGCTTGACAAAGGCTTCGCAGAAGAATATGGTAGAGAGCTTCAACCGTGCTTTCAGTGACAGTGGTGTGCACATCGGGCTGATACATATCGAGGGATCTG